ATTATATAGTGCCTTCAAGCAATAACATGTAAAAAATAATCAAGTTTTAAAAATATACGCATCTATATATGCTAATACATAAAGCGAAAGAGTTTGTTTGTTTGAACGCGCAAATCTCAGGAACTACTTGACTGAGCATTTATCGAGGAAAGCTATAGGCTATAGCACATTGTGATGTGACCAATAGGAGCGAAGAAACAGCAGGTAATGTGCAGAAAACGGGGAAAATAATTCATCTTTGTGGGTTTCCGATGCAAAAACGGTTCGAGATACTCAAAAGATATGCATGGAAGAATGATTAATCTTTAAGTTATATAAAATATGTCTGAGACACTATAGGTCTATATTTTAAGATTAACTTGCTAGAACGACGGGACGCGACCGACGTCGTGTGTAACAACTCGAATTTATAAAGATGAGAAGAGGTTTGACAAATATTTATGCCTAAAATAACTATTCTACGCAGACGAAGTCGCTGACACGGATAGTATAATATATATCTATATAATTACAATACTAATATATATTTTTTTGTTATACGACTAATCCAATCAGGCATTAAGTGCGTCTGAGGGCTTGAGCAGGAATTAATTGCTAATATTAACAATGATATGACGCGATCTATTTCTATCTCCTAATGCCTCTTGAATATTAAACAGCGTATTCGCGTACTTATGCTTCGGAATATTTTAATTAATATCATCTTGGGCCTTAACAACGTCAATATAATAAATGATTAATTAAGTCTGACTTGAATATTTTAATCACCTTTAAATAAAACCTTCAAACGTGTTTTTGCCTGAAGTGTATACGTATAGTACACATTTAATACAACACTTTTAACGGTTTAAAACACGAAATATATGAATTATACATTTCGCGTATATTTTTATGTACGTTAACTCATATATTTATACTTTTAAACTATTAAAATTGTTGTATTTACACTTTGAAAATTTGAAATATTGGGGCGATTTTAATGCAGCATGCTTTGCAGCAGCCGTTGTCAGCGAACGTGGAAGTTCAGTATAAGTTCCTTTTTCGCATTTTAAGCCGTTATAAGTGTTTTATTTTTTATATGTACTACTCACGTAAATTACAGTCGATACTTGATTCTTAGACCCTTACACTAACTGCTTTGTAACTTAGACACATTGTCCAGTTATGAAACTTCCTGAATTCGAATCCAGAGACTCCATAATATTCAAAGGCAGGGCACAGAAGATTTATCATCAAAATCAAAACCAATCGGTGAAACAGACACAGAAATGTATCTGCCAAATAGAGAAAGCGGGCTAGTCTACGAATAAAGAAATGTCCCAAAAGTATTGTTATTATTGGAGAAATATGAAGTTATTAAATAAATAAAAAAAAAAATCTTTTCACTTTTACTTTATCTTATTTAAAAACACTTCTATTTACTTTAAACTTGTAAGTCTTACGGATGAAGCAGTTTTGACTTACCCTATTACTTACGTAAGTGATAAGTTTGAATGTCTACAGCTATCCCCGGAAAATATTTGTAATTTTCCTTCCCCATTCATCCCTCTTAACGCCTAACCCCAATATACGTTTATTGCTAGCATTGTTTGTGCCCTAATCGTTCACCCGAAGAGCGTTCTGTTGAGCCATCGGTTACAAATTGCACATACAAAACGCGGCATAGTTATAACGTAAGCCATTCCAATTCAATTATGCTATGTAAAAACGGATAGGCGTAGATTAGAAAGGCTAGTTGAACGAGTTTTTATAATTAATAAGCTATATTAAATATTTTTAAAATCACAAGGGCTTTTTTAACGACGAAATTTATTTATTTGGGTCAAAATTTGAAATTGAAATTGAAGCACCTTCCCGTTGTCAGATTGATCTAAAATTTGGTACACACATTTAATTTCGATGACAATACAATAGAATAAATCAATAGTATTATAAATTCAAGATGTCATGATGATATGAGTATCAAATGAAAGGGCTACACTAGTAAAATACGATGATTATGTAAAAAAAATTGTAATTTTCAGTGCACAAAAAACCGTTAAACTTAGAAGTTTTCTTAACGGTTTTATTTAATCGCAAACTTCATATGACAATTAACGTTTCTTATGGAAGGAATAAGTTCTTCGTAAAATTGATTTTTTGATAAGTTAAAATTTGACTTTAAAGGGGGTCTTCTATAACACACATACACTTTATATAGTTAATGTGTTTTGCCTGATCAACGTTTATATAAAAAACAAGTAGTCTAATAAAAAAAGACATTTCAATAACGCTTTCATTAAATGTATGACGTCGTGATAGAATTTTAAATTGAAAAACGAAAGGACTATATTTAACAGCGGTTGAAGTTAGAGATCAGTAGAAACTTTGAAAAATTATGAAATATTGAGTACTAATGAATAGATAATAAATAACTGAGTATATTTTGTACTTTACGCGAGTAGTACACATTTAAAATAAGCTCTATTACCGGTTTAATACGCGAAATATATTAACTACGGCCCGACGTGACCATTATTGCAAAGCATCCGAAAAGTCGGGCTGTAGTTAAAGTTTTATAAATGTTCATCAATGTATATGGCGTTTCCATCTGTTAAAAGTGTTTTATTGAAATGAATAAATGGTTTATTGATACGTGTAGAAACTACGGTTAACATGTAGTTACTTTAGGTATTATGAGTCTATATCGATACATCGTTCATCGTAATAAGTTACAAAGTCCACACCCGTGAAACGCTAATCAAATATGGTAATGAGTTCACAACTTTCAAATTTAGTTAGCATCGCAAAAAGCGTTAGGATTTTTTTCCAGAACATTCCGATATTAGAATAACGTAAAAATGAGGAAGAAAAAGTAGGAAATCTTATTGTTTGAAATGTTCAACAAATTTTTCGAGTAAACATTGTTGTTGATATTGCTTCGTTGTGATTGTCGACGCGATGTGAACGGATTTATTGAAGTGTTTATGTAACTTCTGTATTTTATACACAAATAAGAGGACAAAGTAGGTAGGATTTTACTATTCCAGGTTTTGATCGACAGAGAAGAATGTATAAAATAGTCTTACGCCCTTTATGTAAAGCCAAATTAACAATTTTAAAACGATAATTAAGTTCAACATGTCACTAATACTACGAGTACTACGAACAGGGCCATGGCATGTATAACCTCACTCTGCGATCAATAAAAGCGAACAGTGAAAAATGTAAAAAAACGTGTAAAATGGTAAAAAGAAACCAGAAACTTTAAAAAAAATACGGTTAAAACCGATATTTAGTTAAACTTATTTGAAAGATTTTTAAATCCCGCCCCAACTTTCGGAAGCTTTGCAGCAGCCGTGGTCACGGGGAGAATGTCTCCTCTTTTAAATTATCTAAAAAATGACTGTGACTGTATTCATCTATCTTTTGAGATTAAGTTAAGGTAATTAACACATTTAGCCAATATTCATGTATTATTACCGATTATTTGAGGCAGAGTGGCCTAATAACAAAAAAAACATGATTTTCAATAAAAAGGAAAACAAAAATACACAATCAACATAGGCGAAAACGAATTTGTACTATTATTTGTGTAAAAATTATGTAAACAATTTCCGGTCACTATGCTCTTGTAGACTAACATTTTTAGACTATAAAAATATAAATAGCTCAAGTCATAACTGCAGTTAAGCTAGTCTGCTCCATTTGCGGCCTTATTTGTTAAAGTAGCAATATCTTGGAAACAAGAAAACAACGTTCGTCTGATCGGCTAGTAAAATTAAAAATATAAAAAAATCCTCGTCAAATAATTCCCCATTCAAACAAGCAATGCTTGTCAGAACTCGGAACTTGTGCAAAACGTACCTACAATTCAAACTCACGTCATATTAAGTAAGCAAAACTCTACGTTCAAGCACTTCTAGTGAGTCCGGGTGAAGTTGGTTCCGTTTATTTTTTAAGTTCGGATTCAAGAAATTTCGCATTCATAGTTCCAAGTTTTAGTACTTACATTTTCTATTGTAATACTTAATAACTTCGACGTACGCGAGTATTTTTGTTCGGGAATTATACGGATGATTATAAATGCCATTCGCTGTGTACACAGATGGACGTCGTATATTCTTACTTCCAATGGGTAAGCTTTCAGGGCAATTTAAACTTATTTCAAAGTGGGCCTCTCGCTACGAGTTTTATCGGAAAAACTTCGACTTATCTTCGGTAAGAGGTAAGTACTTTTAGAAGCAGTATGATGAAAATGTGTTAATGCGTGTTCAAATGTAACCAAAGTCCAAGGCAAAGCCAAAAATCATTTATTCACGTACGTAACTAGGTACGCTTATGAACGTCACACCATTTAAAATCTAAATCAACCACCTGGTCGAAGAGTAAGTCAAGATTAAGGAAGATGTCGGTTCCGGGTATCTTCCATATCTTAATGACAGTAAAGTCGCGATGGGTCTATGTTCCAAAACTCCTCCTATATATACCTATAAAGCTGAAGAGTTTGTTTGAACGCACTAATCTTAGGAACAATTGGTTAAAATTGAAAAAATATTTTTAGTGTTGGTTAAAGCATTTATCGAGGAAAGTGGACTATAAAACAACGCACTCTAACTAATAGAAGCGAAATAGCAAGAAATATGAAAAAAAATGGGGAAAAATCATTCATCATTGTGGGTTTCCGACGCGTGCGCTGCCTAAACGGTCGTGAACCGTTCCGATTCCTCTTTCTTTGCAAGACGACGGGACGCGACCGACGTAGTGGCTTAAACTTCAAAATATAAAGAAGAAGTTTGCAAAAACAAATTTGGATATCCAAAACAACTATTCATCGCGGACGGAGTTGCTGACCCAGCCAGTGAAAGATAGGATCTGTGACTAGATGAGACATTAATGTTAAAACATGATAGAGGCCGTATATAAGAACATAGCAATTCCAAATGTGACCTATTTGTAGCGGTAAGACATGAAGCAATTTAAAGTTATCGGAAAGAAAATAAATCCCCCCGTAACAAGTTCTATTCGCGAAACTTTACTCGGGGTATCTGGGGAATTAAGGAGGTAATTGTAATCGGACCGATAACATTTTGGAGGGGATTTGTTAATGACCAATTTGTACGTCCTGTTGAAACTTGAGTGATTTGTTTAAGCTAATTTATTTAACGGAGAGATACTGTGTTTCTGGAAAGTAGGTTTAGATAAAACTTTTTAAGTCTGTGATGGCTGATGTGATTAAATTTATAGCATTAACGGTCACTCTCCTTAGTATTCTAGGCTAAAAACGGACATTTACGATTTTTTCACAATTTTTCCAGTATTTATTCACGGTAAACATTACTTTTTTTTTAATATTTTTTAAGTTATGACAACAGCACGGAACACTGACGATACTGGTTCAAGACCTGCCCGAGACAATTTTTTATTTTCTATTTTTAAAATATAATATAGTGATTAAAGTTTTAATACGTTTGGTTTATAGATTTCCTATTATACTGATCGATCTTCACAGTAACGCATTCACAAATGATACTAAACTAAAAATAGAAGATAAATAAAATGTTACCTCATTGTCCTTGTCGGCGTCCTTGATGTGTTGTGCGATAAAACGCACACTCTGTAGAGCGGCCGCCACTTCAGGAGATAAGTGGCGAGGCAACATGTTCTCCGATTCCGTCACTATTGAGAAAAAAATAACATTATTTCATGGGATTAGATTGACCGGGGTTTTCGATTGGGACGCGATTTACCTTATTTCCTTTTAGAAGACTATTAAATGAATCACGGGATTTTGTACAATCTTAGGACAATTAAACAGTTAAGTTATTTTGAAAGTCTACCTGAAGGACGTTGCTGAATGCCAGCACCGAGCATGTCGTCTTCAGGACCTGGTGACTTTCGGTAGTCTCCATCATCTTCCTTTCCAGTAGAGAACGCGTCTGTCAAGCTGTCCCTACTAACAATAAAACGGTATGTTAACTAAAAAATGTTTTTTTATTAAACCCATTTTTTTTTCTTTTTTAAACAAAACACGCCGGAAACATACCTATATATAAAGCTGAAGAGTTTGTTTGAACGCGGTAATCTCTGGAACTACTAGTCCGAACTGAATTGTTTTTCTGATGTACGAAAAAAATATTTTTCTTAAAATGACCTAAAAAAATGTCTACAACAGTAGTTTAAAGACTAACATTCTACGCAGGCGAAGTCGCTGACACAGCCAGTATATATTATTATATATAAATATTGCAGCATTCAGCTGAGTCTGCATCCCGACGTGCCACAAAATTTTTAGGTTAAGAATCTAGTTTTAAGTATTTTGTGGCATTAAATATTTTGTTCTTTCTTTCTTTCATACGTTTAATAAACTTTTATTAATAATACGTACGTCAATCGTCAAATTTCCTAAACATAAAATTACTTAAAAATTATTTTCTTTATTCAGTGGCCTTTTTAGTCAGATGTGGGTTACGTTCTACATTCTTGGATTACTTATTATTATTGATATGTTTAGCATGAAACATTTTCTATCCAACAGCTTTTTTAAAAATCACTTCAGCGAACGAGCAAAGTATTAGCCTGCTTATATCTTGCTATGGCAAGCGATAACAAGTCGTATCTTTTAAGTATTAGAGGCGACGCCACGTGCAACGTTTGATAAATCCGAGAACACGCAAAATACTCTTTTATGAGTTAAGGGTGGTGGCATACTCAGTACACGAAAAATTTGTTTGTTTATTATATATATCACATCGACAGCGTTCCGTTCTGTTTCTCTAACCAATTGAGCTACCGTGTCATACCGATGATGACGCCGGTTCAAGTGCTGTCCGTTTCTTTAAGACAAAATTTAATTGGTGATCGATTTTTAATTAAGTGTTAATATAGTGCCATACAAACTGGAATCTACGACCAAGAATATACTTTGAAAATAGCCCAACCTATAACATCTAGATGAGATACGCTATTTCCCTATTTTGGTTTTGGAAATTCGGATACCCCAGCCACATATAAGTTTTCGTCCTATGTTGGCTTTGGATATTCGGAAATCGAGAGACTAAAACCGAAATGCGAATGAACTTCAAGGCTGTGTCATCTGTGACCGACGGTTTATGATTCGGATTCGATTTCGACATTTCTAGCGCCATTTAATATCCAGATTTTTCAGAGTTAATTGAAAAAAGACACTGAAACCGGTCAGGGATCTATGCCACGACGATGTCAAAATTATTGATTTTTTTTAATAGTTCATTATAATTTGAGGTTTTTTGTTTTTTTTTAATTATGTATACACCAGCACAACGATTTTCTTGCAACTCACAACTTAGCCTATTGTAGCAAAAGCGTTTTCAGCGGAACATTTTAGAATATTGACTGAAATTATCGCTCATTCGCAAGCCATTTGCCCGCGGCGTAAACAACGCCCCGTGGTTTTCCTCGTAAAATATTTTACATTTCACTTCACCCAATAAATAGGTTTTACAATCCAATAAAGAGAGGGAATATTAGGAAAAATGAGGTCGACGATTCCTTTGAAATAAACGATGAACAATGAATTATTATCTGTAACAATTCATTGTTTCATAATATATATATATTTTTATTATGTTATTTCATTTTTCATTCAAATTGGCAAGGCATAATAAAAAAGATGCGATTCAATAACGACTATATAGCTTGATTACTCGTTGGAGGGACAACGCGAAGCCATTGGGTCCAGGGTTTGAGTCTCGCCCATGCCAAAATTCGGATCGAATAAATACTATGTTAAATGTATTACATACACATGTATAAGTGTGTATTTAAATGTGAAAAATAAGAATAACAAGCACAAAGCATAATCCTTAACTCTTAAAAGATTTGCTTTTAAATAATACACTTTAACGGTTTAAACGCGATATATATATTGAAGACAGTATCCACGGTTGCTGCAAAGCGTCCAAAACGTCGAGCCTAGATAAATAATTAGAATAATTTAATTTTAAATTTTTAAACATTAAAATTTTTATTTAAATGTGCACTACGCGCAAAAACTATGAAAGTATTTAATAAAATTTGTTATCCTACTACTACTACTACTACTAAATTAAACTTTCCAATAATATACCTTATAATCAGAATAAACATAGATTACAATTTATAGATATTTGGAATGTCAAGTAACTAGAAAAAAATCTACCTTTCTGCGAGCTACTCTGGCGGGCGCTGCCATAAACGTTAGTTACACATAATTATGCAATGTATGTTACGAGAGACATCGTTTAGTTTAAAACTACGTAATCCTAATCCTACTCCTGCGTAGACGAAGTCGCAGGCACCAGCTAGTCGTATATAAAACTTAAAACATACGAATGATCTACCCTTATAAGAAAAACAAGTGCAATTAATAACGAAACCACTTAATTGAAATGCTGTGTTTGAAATCGATCTTTTGCGAAATGAAATTGAAATTAACACAGTACATCAGAGCGGGGAAAACATAACATTTCACTCTATGAAATAAAACGAAACCGGTAATGAAAAGTACACTTTCAAATTGTTAACGAATGTCGGTATTGCTTTTTGTTTTTTTAAGCTTAAATTAAAGCTTTTTAAACTTTTTTTAAACACGGGAGGACCGAATAAAGGAGAGATGGAAGATGCAATGTTCAAGCCAACTATCATATAATTAAGAAGCGCTTTTTTGGGTATGGACATTCGGAAATCTAAAGTATACATCTGTGGATGGTGGGCGGAATTAATTATATCCTATCAACAATTTTAAGTCTAAATATTTCAGATGATGCACCTAATGTCAGAAAATGATATAAAAACATTTTAGACCTGGTTGGATCGAATCCACGACCATTATTAGCCATGCAATGCTGCTGTTGAACTTGTCTTAACTAATATCCGAAGCAAAATTGTGTCGTAAAAAGCTCTTAGTGACTAGATAAATGTTGTAAACGTTTTAATTCTTTAGACGTAAATTAATTTAAAATAAGAAAGAAAAGATTAATTTATTTCACGTGTTTTCTGTATAGTTTTAGAAAAATTATAATGAGAAAAATAAAACAAATTTAATGATAATTTAAAAAAGAGGTTCATATATCAATTAGTTAAAAAAAATCGACGATGAGGTGTAGGACGCGGTAGCTCAATCGGTAAAGCAACAGCACGGAACGCTGGCGATGCCGGTTCAAGTCCTGCCCGATTCGAAATTTTTTTACATAGTTTCCATTATTTTCAGTAGCTATATTTTGTCTAGATATGATATTAGTAATAAATAAGTTTCAAAATATTGTATATTTATAAAGAATTTTTAAACCTCTTCATAACGTTTCTATTAAACGATCGCGAAAAATCAACAAAACACTGAAAATCCGAACGCAGACTGAGAGATGCACCGGTAAATTAATGTCCGTTCCGGTATAAACCAGATTAATCTGGCTCGACTCTCGCGAAAACCGGATTTTGCGGAAATCACACGGCTACGAGCCTTTGAGGAATTCTCGTTTCTTTCTGAAAACATTTGACAATTTATAATGGCTATTTGTTTGTCTAATCGACTTTGTGCCAGATACAATTTTATACGTTTGATGTTTATTTATTTTTAGGGTAGAGGGGGACAGACAAGCAAGGGATCACTTGATGGTAGCTGATATACGCCAGCTATATAACAACTAATCAAGATGCACTGTCGACCTATTTTGGCCTTGGATATTCGGAAATCCACAGACTGAACCCGAAACGCAATTAAACTTCACGGTTATTTCATCTAAAGATGGTGTTTCGTGACCCGGACGGAATTTCGATATTTCTACCACCCATTTCATATCCAGATTTCCATAAAAAATATAAATTGTAAGAAAATGTGGGCTCGAACCCACGACCCTTGATTATTAGCCATTTATTACAACCACTACGCCAATGAGTCCGTGAAGATTCACTAAATTAGCGAGGACGTTCAGGTCGACAAAATTATTTCTAAAATACGTATATTGTTTAAACAAATCAATTTAACGGTTTAAAACGCGAAATATGTTAGTTAAACTTATTTGAATGTTATTTAAACTACGGTCCTACTTTTCGGAAACTTAAGATGGAGGGTGTCTCTAATGTCAAAGTAAAAACGTTCCATAGTCGTTGGTATTTGACGATATGTTATAAGCCGTTAAAGTGTGTTGTTAACGTTTATATTCTAAGCTTTGTCCTACCTCATATCCAACTCATTAGTATATCCATTGGAGACGAAGGTGTCATCGTAATCCGGCAAAGAGTACTTGGTTCTCCTCATCATGAGAAGTTTGGGCATGAACTGAAGGAACACCTTCTTCATCCACGGAGACATAGTGTGCGTTGAAGGAGACCTTAGGAAAGATTGACATTTGGATTTAGGCTGTAAGTATCACAATATCTAAGTAATCATCAAATATGTTAAAAGTGCTAGTGAAAGAAATTGCATCCCTAAAATACTGATCAAAGTTTAGTGGGGGGATTCAATTATATAGTGGGAGTTTGATATTTTTGAACATGCCAGATGCCAAAAATGTTAAAAATGACGTATAACTTCTATCTTACCTTTAGCATAGCATATTCTTGCTTTAGAATAATAGTTTGAAAATAGAACTGTGTCGATAAAAAATATACGATAATATGTTCCTAAATTTGTACCAAATGAAAACTAATATCCGGCGGAAGGACTACTATTCTGTATTATTATTGAAGTAGCTGTGTCAGCGACTTCGTCCGCGTAGAATAGTTATTTTGGGCATCCAATTTATGTTTGCAAACCTCTTCATCTTTATAAATTTAAGGTACAACCCACGGCGTCGATCGCGGCCCGTCGCTCTTGCAAGTTAATCTTAAAAGATAGGCATATAGTGTTGCAGACATTATTAGATCATTTTTTTAATACATTTTATTTGGGTATCTTGCACCTTTGTAGGCATCGGACCACGCCGTTTTTTCCACATTACCCGCTGTTTCTTCGCTCCTATTAGTCACATAGCGTGATGTTTTATAGCCTGTAACCTTTCTCGACAAATGCTCTAACTAACACAAACATATTTTTTTCAATTGGAACTAGTTCCCGAGATTAGCGCGTTCAAAGAAACAAACTCTTCAGCTTTATGTATTAGCAACATATTATGTCCCCTACTTACATAAATATATAAAACAATTTGATAGCTCACAAAATAGTAATCATGATTTAAACAACGGTAACTAGCAATCAGGATATTCGAGTCCGAAATTACAAAGCCATTGTATTTTATACAATCACTATTCTATTTCAACGTCATGCCCAAACGGTCTATGAACGTATTATGGTTTAAGAGCTAGTGTTTTATAGAAATTGATGTAATACATTCATTAGAGAGACGTAATTAAATATTTTACTTTGAAAGCTGACGCAAGGAGAAGACTTAATCCATCGTTTAAAATTTGTTATTTTTTTTAATATGTCTCGGAACTATGACCATGACCTCAAAGAACGAATTTCAAACCGTACTTACAGACCTTCATTGATATGGCTTTTAAATTTTCTGTGAATATGTCAAAATATCTTAGATAGCATTAATTAGAAAATGTGAATCAACAAAATTAAAATCTACTGCTGAAGAAATCTTTCCATTGTTAACAACGATACACCCTCATATTTCGTTAAAACGATATACACACATAAATTAAAACTATTAGTGTGTAATGTTTAACGATAAAAACAAATGGGCATACCTCGAAATAAATATTATCCCGAGCACTCACCGTCTCCTAGCCTAAACGTAAATGCACCGTAATACCTCGTTAAGCTGTTCACGACAAATTATGCTTGTGATAATTGCTGCTATCACAAAATCTGCCATTATTCTCGTCGAGGTATGTTAGCCACATTATTGGTTGTAATGTTTCACGGAGACAAAAGACGATCAAATAATATCATAGCGGTATTTTGAAAGCACAATGTATATACACTATTAAAAAATACCTAATTTATATCTTTATATATTTTTTGCACCCTAAGCTTTTTGACACTATGGTTTTTTAAGACTTGTGACAGGCAAATTATTAAGTAACTTATTCAACATTATTTCTTGTGATAGCCACAACGTATTACAAAAAATAATGTTGAACATTTATACATGAAGAGGCTTCAAACCCACTATTATAACGTTGCGTGTTGCTCAAACAATTAATATTGTAGTTCATAAATGGTACTATGAACACTCAGACATGTAACATAATATTATTCTTTATAAAGTATCTTTAGAGAATACAGAAATATGGAGAAAATTAATTAACTCCACTGAATGGAACTCGTAGCTAGAATCAAACCGAATTAAAATAACAATGGACGTTAGGATTTATGTGGCAATTTGCATAGTCGCGTAGAACTACGCGAATTTATGTAGTTCATTAATTTTTATGTTCAACGTTGAACGGGGATTTGCTATGAATCGAACACACAAAGCGGAATATAGCTTGTTATTGAATTTTCAGATTCGTCAATTTCTGGCGCTTTTATTAGGTTTATCCAAGTTTAGCTGAAAATTCAACATAAAACAAACGCTAACGTTTAATTTAAGACTTCGGTTTTATTTTATACTTAATGGTTTAGTACTTATGGATCCACCCACATAATATTATGAATATCTACAATCTATTATTGTTTGTCATGTTCGAAAAACATTTTTCCAATAGGACAATAACTTAAGTTATAAATGCCTTTCTAAGTAACTAAGAGTCTAATAAAAAAACTGTACCAAAATCTACTGTTTAATATTACGTCTTTTAGTTATCGGTTAATTGAATATCGTACATAAGAATAATAATCTGTTTAAATAAAACATTTTAACGGTTTAAAACGCGATTAGTTAAACTTTAACTAACAAGTACGTTAAGGTTAACAAGTTTAACTAATATTGCGTTTTAAATCGTTAAAGTGTTTTATTTAAATGTGTACTATTCGCATAGACTATAGACAGTATTTAATTGATAATCTGTGTCGGACGTTGATATTAGAATAAATATGTTTTTAATCTGTGATTTAAATATTGCATACGTATGCTTGATGATGAATCAATTGAATGTGCATGCACACAAAATTGAATTTCATAGAGACAATGCGTTCAGCGAGTTATCGCATACCACGTTACAATGGGGGAAAATTTATTGGCAAGCCTTTGTAAACATTCTGTGCTAAAGGTATTCAGACTACTGCACGATCTATGGTTTGTGACTTTTACCTCTCATTCTGTACTAATCGTTGCAAATAGTGATACCGTGACGCATTCAGAATTATATCTATATAAATAACTCGGGTAGGAATAATTATGGGGGAAATTGATACAATGCCTTTGCCTCTGACAGAAATATTTCGATCTAAGAAAAAAATGCATCTAGTAGCTTATAGAATTGCACAAATAATCACCGTAGGGAAACCGTACTTACCTGAAGTGGACGTTTAGCACGAGAACCGTCATCCAGACGCTAAGCGACACCAGTACCATGGTGAACAGCAAATACTTTCCTAACAGTGGTATAGCCAAGGACGTGGGCGGTATTATCTCGGCCATCAGCAGGAAGAACACCGTCAATGAGACCAATATAGAGATGCTTAACGATATCTACGAGAAAGAAACATTACCTGAAGTGCACGTTAACAATGCATACAGTGACCCACACGCTGAGAGAGACGAGTATCATTGTGAATAGTAGATACTTCCCGAGCAAGGGGATCGCCAGGGATGTTGGCGGGATGATCTCGGCCAGACCGAGGAAGAACACTGTGAGGGACACCAGGATGGAGATGCAGAGCGATATCTACGGGAGAGAAGTCCTTTTTGAATTATGGTTACCTTTGCGATATTGTCTTTCCGTCCTACATACTGTGTGAAATTTAACAGTCATATGTTATATATTCGTCGCAACAAGTATATGATCTGAACAAGAACATTATACACATATAAATTCGCAAAGGAAACAATTTGACATATATAGTCTCGTTACACTTTTTAGTAAACAACTTTATCTGTGATGATCTTAAATTAAAACATATTAATATCGAAGCGACTACAGACAATAATACTTCATGTTTTAATGTTTATGAATGTACAAATTAAAACACACGACAGTGTAATGGTATGATTGCAGACGAATTTACTGCTCTTTATAATTCGATATCATTTGTAACAATATAAGATGATTTTATCTTACACTAACACTTTCAATAGCTCAAACACTTCGCTATTCATAACTCTACGTTATATTTACACAACGCACTTTGAAATTGAAATTTCTGTATCGAAAACCAATTAGACACTTAAGTATTTTTGTAGCAGTAAATATATTTTGGATAAAACTTGGAAAGACAATAGTCAATGATAAGCAAAATGATGTCAATGATGCTATCACATCCACATAACTAGCTAATGAATCAAAAAAGACTCTATTTGATGGAACAGAGAATGGAGAATGGACGGTTAATAGGGAGGATGGAGATGAACATGCTCGGTTAGACGTTAGACTAAAAGACACCAAGACATTAGACTACTCGCTTACTTGTACATTATTTATTGAACTCTTGGCGAGAGTGGCATCATGTTAAGAAATATTTTTAAGCGAACTGACAGACGGTAGTTAGCTCTTGATAAAATAGAGGTTTAAAGGTTAACCAATACTTGTGTGTTTTAAATGCAACTTTTAAACTTACAGTCTTTATAATGAAATTGACATGAAATATGTTGTATATATAATAACTTTAGTGTTTTATAATGAAAACATACGTTGATATAAGAAATGGGGAACTTTCTATATACTTAAAAAAGTCGATTATTATTTTATTTTTTATTTGTAATAAATTTTATCATTATCTATGATTTGGTGTCTTTTATTCCGTTGTTGTCGTGACGATATAATATTGAAGCAAAACTATTGTGGTAGTTCTAGATGTGTTTCTTGTATTATTTTATAAATCATTTGGGTTTCTTCCTTAAAACGTGGCATTAATTTCTCTGGCAAATATTATTGACTATCGCCTAACCACTAAAGCTAATAAGAGTACAGTAGAGTCAATTATCTGAACGTTTACGGCACAGTCAACTTCATCCGAATATTTATTAAAAATACGGATTAAAAGAGAGCAGAAAAACTTCACAACAAGTCATTTTAAGAGTACCATAATTGGTACTTCTAAAATGACATCAACGATTTTTTACAATACTGCACTGAGAACATTGTTCGTATCTGTCACATAATTTGTATTTGCTAATTAAAAGTCGTATTGAATCAGTAAATACAAATTAAGTATTTAAAATATTCAATGCTGTACTGCATTATTTGTATAGTGACTTTTGAAGCTGAAGAGTTGAACTAAACTACCACAAAAGTTTCCTTCACGATAATTTGGACAAACATCAACAAAACATCGATAGCCAATTGTCACGACATAATTACCTTTTCTCCCGAGTCTGAGGGTAGGTAAAACACAAGAACGGTTAGGAAGGTGAGGCCGACGCACGGGATGATGAGATTCACCGTGTAGAAGAGGGTCTTTCTGCGCATTGTTAGCTTAAATGTTATATCTGGAACAAAAATGTAGCTTAGAAATGGTAACTTATCTTAAGATAGTTTGTGTTCGTTGAAGTAATAATATCGATTTCAAATTTAAATAGATGTTATAAATAGTTTATTCAAGTTTTCGTCTATTCTAATATTTACTCTCTGGCTATTATAATAAAGATAAAATGTTTACATAAGACACTTAAAAGTTTAAAATACGAAATATATTTTAGTTAAGTTATTTTACTCTGGGCCGACGTTTCGGAAATTTTCATCATTCAGGTACCATGCAAGCATTCGAAACGTGGGGCCTAAGTTTAAAATAATTTAATAACTAGTTAATTACTCTATTTCGTTTCAAATCATAAATAATTACAGGTAATTTTTAATATACAATGATAAATATGGTTTACTTAAATTTACAGGTCTACAGTAAAACTTTTTAAATTGTTCATCAAACAGCTAGCCTAAAATTGACTCACCAGAAAACGGTTCGGGGCAACACGGGTAATACTCCTCATTCCTAGTTGCTGGTACTTCAAGGATATCCCATTCCACGGACAAATAAAACTCGCTTAGATCAATACCGACGTGAACCAGGCTACTTCCTGGAGATTGGTCCATATGCTTCAAGTCGACCTGAAGAGATTATATTGTTGATAAGCTATATTTCCATTTCTTTGATTTGCATTAAAGAATAATCAAATAAGGTCTAGAACAAGTAATATACTCTATTATATGTTATTATGAACATCAAAAATTGTTTTCGCAAACCTTCTGTATAACTCTATACATTTAAGCTATTACCCACGACGTTATCTGCGCCCCAACGTTGTTGCAAGTTAACGTTGAAAGATTGACATTTTTTTAGAAAAATCAATTTTTAATATACATTTTTTGGGTATCTTGACCGTTTTCGTAGCGTACGCAGCGGAAACGCAACAGGTGAATATTTTTTCCCCTTTTCACCGTTTCCCAGTGTTTCTTCGGCCCTATTAGTCACAACGTTAGTGTTTATGCCTATACCCTCCCTCGATAAATGTTTTAACCGACACAAAAATATTTTTTTAATTCGAACCAGTAGTTCCTGAGATTAGCGCGTTCAAACAAACAGATTTATATATTAGTATAGATGTAAAGAGACTGTTTGATTGATATAATACAACATATTAAACATACCTGAGCCCCATTGTAAGTCCAAGATCCAAATTTCATGAAGCAAGTTTGTTCATCGAAGGGAAAATACTCCACGTTGATTTCACAAGATGACTTGTAAATGGCCGGAGGTTTCCAATTCACTTCTCCAGTATATTTCAGGGTTGCTTTCGTCATCAATGTTACCTGAAAATTGTAATTTTAAGTTTTAAATGAAAGAAAATGATGTATTACAACATTTGTATATAATAGAAATATTTTAACATAATATTATAATTATGAAAAATCATGAAAGTTGGTATTAGAAGTTTCGTAAAAAAATCCTTGTTTCAGGATAGCAAAAAAATGCGAAGAAATTATACTGTTCTAAATACTGTCTGTAGTTAACGAGTAAAAATAAAACACTTTAACGGCTTTAAACGCGAAATATACTAGCTAGACTTTCCTCTTCCGGTGACCAGGGCTGTTGCAAAGCAACCGAAACGTAGTTAAAATATTTCGCGTTTTAGGTCGTTTAAGTGTTTTATATATAAAAATATACTAGTCACTATGTTTCCTATAAGCACATAGTGACTATTTACCCATTTCCCCTATGTAGCATCACATAAAATGAACACGTATTAGTGTTAATTTTGTGTGTACACTAATACGTGTTCATTTTGTTGATCTATTTATTTAAAGACAAGTTGTTGATTAGTCTACTTCTATAGCCTTGCCCAACCAATTTATTGCTTCTTCAGCATTCGAATCAATGACCTCTTACGCGTAACTATATACCTACCTCGTAATTTCCATCCCAGTTATTATAAAGCACGATGTCAGGCAACCAGATGTGTTCAGATGGTACATACAGCATCTCTACGCCACCATAATCCGCCGGGTCCCATGTCAACTTGTAATCCTGCCATTTCTGAAACGTGTGTTTAATAATTAAATTTTTAAAATATTTGAATATCAGAAAGCATTTAAAAAATAAAGATCTGGATCGACTCCCTAGATTAAAACACACAAACTATGTGTTCGCCCCATGCCTCAAAAGGGGAATCGTGAATTAACTGTTCACCCTTCAACCTCAACAAGCACATCAACATGTATCAAAGAAAACATCGTTAATTTTCTCTTTATTAATAGGACAGCTTACCTGTTCAACCCACAAATTCGTAGTCATGACCTGATTCTTCAGGTTGACTTCCATGAGTTGCGAGAGCTTCAGACCCAACCTCACAGTCAGGATGTCACTGACGTTCATAACAGGCCGAATCAACCTGTTATAGTTGCTAAGCAAATCGTCGTATAGTCTTTTGACATCTGGGTTCGCCTCTAAGAGCTTTACCCCTAGAAGTAAATTAAATATATTTTAAAGTACTTAAAACAATAAATAAGTTTAAAATATGTGCCTTTTAATATATATAAAATCCTTTTATGCCTCGGCTTTTGCATTCAAAGAAAATTATTGCTCAAACAATGAGAAGACATAATAACTGTAAAGTTTAATTAAAAAATAACACTTACCTAAGCTGTTTCTTATCAAGTGTAATATTAACCACAGCACTGCGACTTTCATTTTTCTACTTAAATTCTATTAAGAAATTAAGCTTTCACTTTGTACTGGCGTCCTTTGATTCAGATGCAGAATGGTAAGTGCAGATCATTGAGACCAAAACGTGAACTGCGCAATGCGCATGCGTAATCAATATCGCAAATTTCCCGCCCTTTTTCCTTTCATAAGCTTCAATTTTGATCTTAAATCTTTTCATCAATTACTAGTATATATGTTAAACTTTCAGTGAAGACAAAATTTTGCGTAAGAAAAAAACCCAGAAACTTACAAGCCCGAGAAGAAGACGTTAGCTGGTAACACCGATACAATGAGGTCCAAGGAACTAAATTACCGCCTCCACTAAAGTAATGGAAGAAGACTCTCGAGTCGCAAAGACATTACTTTGATTTAGTCTTGTCCATCAAATACTCGTTACTACGAAAACGAATGATATCTACTAAATAAAAAAAAAAGCTGCAAGTAACAAATAAAAATATTCTTTATTCGTTACAAAAAACATTTTATTTCAAAATAATCGCTTAACCTCAGTACTGTATATAATTGTAAAAATATTAAAAAATACACTTCATCTTTTATTCTGTTGAACTTGTACATATTTTATACTTCTTGTATGATACCTATCGTATTCTTCACCCTCTGAAACCCAAACATATACATTATGTATTATAAAGGTGAATAGAATTCTATAATGTCACACATGATAAACAATTGTACCTGTAACTGGATATTTGGGTAAGGGCCATAGACTAAATGGGTAAAAGTACGCACTCGGAACTCTTCTTACGATAATGGGCCTCTCTTGAGTATTTTTCCTTTCTGCAACAATTAAATTCACAATAGCTATATTTCCTAATTGACAAGAATGTAACACATAAAAAGTTGGTTCCTAATTGTCTGTAAAAGAAATAAAGTAACACGAAAAAAGGGATAATAAGATGGAAACAAAAGAATAACGAGTTTTGTAGTACGTAGGATATCGCCATACAAAAATTGAAAACATATAAAGGCCACTTTCTTCGAAGTATATGTAATGGAACATAATATGGAATCATCGGACAATTTTTTTAAAGATATTGTGTAAAACAAAATAAACGACGACTTGACTTATTCTTATAAATCATAGTACAAATATCGATATTTTTACATCAGTCAAAACAAATTGTATTTGCCTTCAACGCAATCTTATTGGTTTTTTTAACTATTGATAATGAGATTTTTTTGATAATTATACTGGTATCTAAATGTACCCGCTGTACTAGATCCGAAAAATAATTACTACAAAACTAACAACTATGCTACAATTTCTCTTAAGTAACTCAATAATTATAAAATAACAACACGGTTGACGTAATACCAGAAGAGAGTTCTCATATCCGAGTTAGAAGTCGTTACTTTTAAAATTTTCCAACTATAAGGGTGATATAATTCTTTAAACCTATTTGAATATTAGAACATTACAGAACACAATAAGGAAGGGAATGACCGCACCTTCCTGGTTCAAGGTAGGAAGTCATCGACATACAATGTCAATGCGATTATGTCACTCTCGTTATGACGACCAGGAAATCTTGGTCACTCTACAAAATACATCTTGCAACTGAATACATCATTGCTCTTTGTTATGGTAGCAATGTATGGCTAAGACAACTGTCAAACTTCGATCCCACAAGAAAACCCATATATCTAAAATCGTTTTTTCTGAAACATGTCCATAATGTTGGTGGTATAAATATCAATATTCCGTCGGGTTCAGAAAAAATTGATAAAAAGCCGTTTCCGTTTTGAAATTTAATCCACGTATTTCTCAATAATCAAAGCCATAGGGCTCGACAGCAAATCATACTTAGATGTTACTAGCTGTGTCCGCGTAAAATAGTTGCTTCCGGGCCTCAAAAATATTTTTTGCAAACAACCTCCTAAACTTTTACAAATTAAAGTTGTTACCCACGACGTCCCGTCGTTCGAGTTAATATAGGTACATGTCGCGATCCGTTTTTTAAGATCATTTTAAAAGGAATCATCCTTTCATACCTATATTTGGGGTTTGGGGGTATCTTCAACCGTTTTCAAGGAGTGAAAACTGTCTAAGATAAATTTTCCCGTTTAATCTACATTCTACTGTTTCTTCCTAATAGTCGCAGTCTACAAAAAACATAACGCATTCTTAAATACAATACTAATTTAAAAGGCAAATACATTAATTCCCTTATTAACAATCTATTTTAACTACGGCGGTCTTGTAGTAGTCGTGGTCACGGAGGGACTGAATATGGAAATGCAAAGCATCCGAAACGAACGAATTTCTCATTTTAAGCCGTGAAAAGTGGTTTATTTAAATATGTATTACTTGGCTACAGACAATATTAAGAACGTATTTTATGGCACTTAAAAATATAATTCAAATAAAAAAATTGTAGAAGTCAGTAATGCATAGTATAGTAGGTATCAGTGGTATAGTATAGTTACATGCAACTATTCTCTATGAGTGAACAACTCAATTACAAAATAGGGCATAAATGTGCCATAACTGTCAACATAAATCTAACGTTCCGAAAGAATGTGTTTACAATTGGTCTATTCCTCACACTTCCCGGTTCACAATCGTAGGTTCACATTTTTCACTTAAGGCGAGACATGGAACCTGCTACGTAATAGTTTAGGATTTATTGTTACATGATGTTCACATGGGGCGTGGGTACACTACCGGGCACTGTGCCCTTTTCATAGAACAATATTATACGTTTTCAAACGTTATAAACTTTGTAATTTCATCTTCAATGATTTCTTAAGCTGCAAAGCATAAGACATTGAACCTTCAAATGCACAGTTTTAAGGTTGAAATTACAATGCGTGAGATGTGCATGTATCAATAAGTTGAACAAATTCGACGATGAGGTGTAGGACTCGGTAGCTCAATTGGTAGAGCAACAGCACGGAACGCTGACGATGTCGGTTCAAGTCCTGCCCGATTTCGATTTTTAGATCGATATTAATTATGCTGACAAAAATTAACAAATTTTTGCATTAAATTTTATTTTCACAACCATTTTTTGTTTCGCTGGGATTCGAATCCAAAACGTCTAAACGCAATGCTAGATAACGAGATTCACCACGAGTCTACTACAGACCTACTACGCATAAAATGATTTTCCATAAAATAATCGTTGTATCTATTTTTATGTCATTTACTTGGAAATGTATTAAAAAAAAACATAATTTTTAGTATTTATTTTGCATACTAAACGAAGCTTATGCGTAGTATGTGCCAGAATATCAAGAATAAAAAAAGCGATTTTTGGTGTTCCAAAGCTTGTACTACAAGTATTGTTTGTAGTTTATGCGAGTAATTAAATAAAACAGTGTTAATGGTTCAAAACTCGAAATGTTAGGAAAACTTATTTTTAATTTAATTTCGGGTTTAAAACAGTTAAAAGTGTTTAAAGGTATTAGTCGCGTAAACTACAGACAATACTTAAAGCTTCTGCTATATAGATGTTGTGTTATAGGGTACTTTTAACGTTGACCCTAATTTAATATTTTTGTGGTGGGCTGGCTTAATGCGTATCAGTCCGGAAGTGCCTCTTTAGACCGTGATTGTCAAGATTTACATTCTGATGTAATAAAATTGAGTGCCTACTGACCCGCAAACATACTTTGACCGAAATCCTTAGTATATTTTTTGTGACAAGTAAGTAAGTGACAGCTTACATAGCGCAGGTTCATGTATCAATAAGTAGAAAAAAAATCGACGACGCGTAGGACTCCGTAGCTCAATTGGTTAGAGCAATAGCACGGAACGCTGTGGACGCCGTTTCAAGTCCTGCCCGAGACTTTTTTTTTCAATTTGTAATCGATTTTTACAATCAACAAAAACGAAAAGTGATTTTGTGAATACGGAATAAATTAGACAAACTATATGCTAAGTATTTGTAGTAGTTTGACTATAAATTCTCATATACTAAAACGTCCAGTAGTATGCTTAACTCGAAATGTCCTATTAACTACGTATTATACAATATAATAATAAACATTGTTTTGTAATTTAATGTCATTTTTAATAAGACATTTTAAAAGATATTTTGCATATCTCTTTAAATAACATTTTCGCATAAGATCGTGTAAGGTACAGTAAAGATTTTATTTATAATTGGTAAATTCTCCCTAAGGAAATACTTAGTAGGGGTAATCTTTTTGTTATTCCGTCTCAAGGTTAATATAATAATGTAAAAGCGAAAGGGTGTACGCACTATGTCATTTACCATTTCATTTCAAGAGCGATATAATTATTAACTCAGTAATATATTGTAGGTTCATTATAAATTAATGAGGCTTTTATTCAAATAAAACGTTGAGAATTGTATTGGTCGAGTTTATTTTTGTGGTCGGAAGTCTTTTTCACACAAAATTTTTATCTCGAGACGAAATTATGTTAAGTACTACAACGGAAGTATTTCTGAAATTATATGGACTTAATGGTAGCATTTTTGTCTAATAATCAACGGGTCGCGGATACGATCCCCACCGAGTCCAGCATGTTTTTAATCAAATTCTAGTATTTTTGAATGATGCTGGACGTCATCTATCGAAATGAAATCTGGATTTTAAATGTGTGATAGGAATATCGAAAATGATGAAAGAGGTATAGTTTAATCGCGTTTCGGTTTCAGTCTGAAGATTTCCGAATTTTCAAAGCTAAAATAGGTCGACAGCATATATTGACAAGATGTTATATAGCTGGCGTAAAGTTCCATAAAGTGAAATCTATGCTTTATCAAAAAAAAAAAAAATTCTGAAGAGTTGCATCCAGAAATCCCGCACATTCCTTTATACCGTCTCAGCAGTAGGAACTGTATAAAGGTTGTCTGATGAAAGAAATATATGAACCTGTTTCTGCGTGGTAATAAATAGGTATATAGTTTGAAAACTTTATAAATTTTTACATGTTATTGCAGAGGTTAATTACTTTCTTACTAGTGTTTATACTCGACGATACGTTAAACACAAAACAAATTCTTCGCTAAACATAGTGTCTTAAATACCTAGCTAGTAAAAATAACCGAAGGAGAATTATGTTTATCGGTCGAAAAGGGGGTCTCGACCGATTGTAAGGAGACGAAATTGACACTGCGGCGTGAGGTAATAAGTTATGTAGGTCAGTCTCTGCGATCAAAGATACCGTAAAAAACTACGTATGGTTAAATCGAGATATAAAAACATAGAGCTACAGTTACAGCTTTTTCGAATTATTTTTGACTAACTTTGCAATTGTAAGATTGTGAAGATAATCCAACTGCCTTTTTTATTATTAATCTTTTAATTTAATATAGTTAATTAATTTTGAATAGGAGAAGCTTAATTTTACTTTGTATATTGTTACTTAACTTCAAGACTTGTTGTAAAAAATAAATGTCTTTAATGTAACCTTTTCAAATTCAATTTTTTTTTTGTAATTTACTTACCTTTAGCTTCCATTTTTCTCGACGGCGCCAAAGCAGGATTGCTGATGACAGTCATAACGAGCATGGAAATACAGATGACAGCGAGATGCGCGTGCGCCATGCGTACAAGTTTATTTATAACTGATTAATGCATCTGCAAATTGTTGACCGAGAGGCTACATGGAGTATACAGGCATGGATTGTAATTCTATTATTATTCATAGCAGCATGTACTTAATTTTACTGTAAGTTATGAAACATATTAAACTCCGTCTAGGTATAGGTAAACCACCAGTTTGTGTATTTCTGAATGTCTAAGGCAAGGACGACAACGCATCTTTTTTAGATGTTAAATGGTATTTATCAAGGGCTCCTTATTTGTCAGTCCTTCTCAGTAAATCAGTAGTAACTATAGACACGCTTTGTGTTATAATAAGTTAAATTAATTAGGTGGAGCAAAATGTTCTTTTATTTTTTCGTCGATTTATCATTGTACAATTCGGGACAGAGAAGAATCAAATCACACAATTATTATTGTTCTTTCGTAGCCGTTTATTGGTCTTCGAATAAATCTATATTGTGCGTTTGTTTGGTATTCATAAATATGTTAATATTGTTTTATATGACTATGGTAGTGCAAACTGTTTAAACGATTTTATTATACCTTGAATTGATTGTCAAATTCAAGTCAAACATTTAAAAAATCATTAAGCAATTTTCGGATATCGTCGTCCAAATTACCAAGTGAATTTATTTAATTATAGGATTATGAAATTTCAAAAGTCTAAAATAAGTACAAAGAAATATAAAAATACTTTTCTTACGCGAAATTTAGAAAAGTTGATCGAAGAAAATTGTAAATTACGTGAACAGCTCAGACAAGCGACAGAAAAGAAACACCAAGAAATGACGCGAGCCATTCAACTGGATGAGAAAAATTCGCTTTTAAAACAAAGAATACGTGAGGCACATTTGGAAAACAGGCTTTTATAAGGGAAAACATTGTTATATAAAATGAATAACGACAGGATTTACGAAGTTAAAATGAAAACCCTACAAAACGAAAACTGCGACTTACGCTACCAAATTTCATTAGCGAAGATAAAAAGGATAGAAGCAAGTAACAATGCCGAAAGACTTGCGGAGTCAAATTACTATTTGCAGAGATATTTAAATACAATTTTGATGGAAAGTACAAGAGCTGTCTGTAGTTTACACGAGTAGTATACACTTAAATAACACTTTGCTTTGCAACAGCCGTGGTCACGGAAAGACTAAAAATGTTCAAAGTAAAAAACGCTGGCGCCATCTGATACGTCGTACTTAGTTGGTATAATTTTACTTTAACGTTAGAGACACCATTCATCTTAAGTCTCCCTGTAACCATGGCTACTCCAAATCAGTGTTTTATTATAAATGTATAGGTACTACTCCGAAACGTCGGGCCGTAGTTTAAATTATTTCCAAATTGAACCGATACATTTCGCATTTCAAACTGTTGTGTTTTATCTTTAAAAGTACAAGAGCGTTATATTAAAGTACTTTTACCTAGACAGTTTTTCATTTTGTATATTTATGTACTAACTGTGCCAGCGACTTCGCCCGCATAGAATATAATTTGGTTTTACAAACCTCATATTTATAAAATATAGTCTCTAGTATGTAATCCGTGAAGATGAGTTTGGCAAAAGGGTCATTACATGATTGTATTTTTATGTAAAAATTGCGCTTTTGAATATTCTCGCTAATTATAATATTTATTACTACGGTCGTTTCTGTAACTTCCTGCCATTTTTCATCGTGATCCGCGTTCTGTGATTTGGAAATCAAATCTTTCTTTGTGGAACATTCGTTGTTTATTAATAACATTAACATACTCTTTGAAGAGGAAAAATTCGCAATCTTGCCACTTTTCTCCTGCTTCTAATTGTTATAAAATCACTTACTTCCATATCCATGTCATTTATATTTTATACAAGTAAAAAGAAAAAATAAAATATCCACCTTTCTAAATATACTTACGGTTGGAAAGAACAATGACCAAAATTGTATAGGTACTGGGCCTGTCTAAAATGTTTGATTATTAATACCACTCAAACCGATAACGTTTTTTAAAAGCCAACATAATTTAATATCGTTCAAAACAGTTTTTAGATTACGAGGTTTTTCATTAGGGACCGTTCAAGTATTACGTAAGCACTATAGGGGGGTGTGGGGGTCTTTGTTTTGCTTATTTTTGATGACATGGGGGGTAGGGGAGTCCAGATGATGATTACGTCATCGATATTTATTTACTTTCTGAATCAACTTTCTTATTTTTAAAATTATAATATAAAAAATACATTTTTAATTGTAAAATGTTTACGTAAGAACGGGGGAAGGGGTAAAAGCTTTGCTTACTTTTGCTGACAAGGGGGATGGGGGGGGTAAATAATTGTAATAAATCTGCTTACGTAATACTTGAACGGCCCCTTAACTATATTAATAGAGTTATGTAAAAAATTAAATAAGGTTATGAGAGGGTAAACTAAAGAGGTTTCAAACCCAGTGCGTATCAAAACAAAGGCATTACCAATCGTCATTGACAAATCTTTACATGTAAAAAGTAAAAAAAAAACATTAATTCGGATGCTGCAAAGCATCCGAAACGTCGGGCCGAAGTTAAAAAACATTTTCAAATAAGTTTAACTAATATATCGCGTTTTAAACCGTTAAAGTGTTTTATTTAAACAGGCAGGAATGTTAAAAAGTACTTTCTACCTACAATGTTATATTTAAGTAGATAAGTAAAAAAAAACTCAACTGAGATGCAGCGCCTAGGTTACCCATTTCAACATGAGTAATTGAATATTCTTAAAGTTATAAGCAATGACTTTTGGAATATAGTCAGTAACTGGACGTTTGCCAATAAACAAGACAACAAGCTTTGCACATGGTATGAGAAGTAAGCAAACCACACCTGGTTCCTTACATGTTTTCACTGAATATCGCTGTTTCTATGAATTCACCCTTTGTTATGGCTGCCGACATTTGATTTTTCGTAGTGAAGTGATAGTGTACACCATCCTTTTCGGCGGGTCGAGGACATCTTGTCGTATGCGACACACTTAAACCAAACTGGTCTGGAAATTCTTTTAGTAAACGCTTTAACAAAGTGCTCTTTCCCGAACCCGATGGGACCCAAAGAACAAGAGGACCTGGCCCTTTTTGCACCATTAAAAAAAAATCTCTTTTAAGGTTACACATGTTAAAAAGAGGAGTAAATTTAGACACATTTCAGAAAATTCAGGGTAAAAACCCTAAAATTATCTTTATCTCAAGAATTGTGCACTAGTCCTTACAAACAAGGGGTAACTAGTGAACACAATTAAAATAATAACATGAAGGGATTTACCGCAGACTCAACCCAACACAGCACAGATTAAAGAAGCAGAGTGTTGAGAATGCGTATATAATACTGTCAAATATGGGTTAAATCACAACAAACAAAACAATTTTATAAAAGGAGGTTTATTATATTTACCAAAATACTTAATTACTTAAAATTTTAATACCAAGTTTTGCACAAAGAACTTATTATTATTTTTATAGTAATTTCTATAAGAAAATTAAGAACATTTGATTTGATTTCTTTCATCGCACAAGAACCAATCACAGGGGCACAAAACCATTTGTTCTTTAACTTCTCTATGTTATTTTTGTCTTTATTATTTCCCTTATTTTCAAGCTGTTCCTAAAGACATTCTAGTAACGTCTCTTCAATCGAGTGAATTAAGAGTGGTAAAATATCATGTTCATAAATGTTGTACGGTGCATACATATAATTGAAGAAGCTTTGATTTGGCTAGGATTATTAAGATTCCATGTGATTGTTAATTCTTAGCCACGATGGAAAACCAAAGCAGGATTTCATACGCTAAGAAAGCAGTATATTTTCTGTTAATTTATACAATTTTATCATTGCAAATGGAATCGTTACAAGTGTATTTTTTGTGCTAGATTAATCACCAAGACTAGAATAGTTTCCATTAAATCCTTTTTTCCTAGAGAGTCCATAGTGTCTTTAATAATATGAATCTGTCCTTCTTCACTAATCTCTTGAATGGGACTGAGTTTAAGATTTATCTGGTCTCTTGAACCAATTAAGGAAGTGTATAGGTCCTTAATTCTTCTTAATTGGTTCAATTTCAATGTCTTTTCTTTGGGAGCTTCTTTAACAGCATTCTAAAATATGTTATTAAAATTCAGTATATCTTTAAAATATTAAAAAGAGCATGAGAATTATTCATGCTACAAGTAATGATGGTAAATTTAGACAAAATAACATACTCTAGTAAGCATTGCAGCACGTGTGGTGTGTAGAGGTGGCCTCGACGATGCTTGAATAGATTTGGAGCCAAGACCAGTGTCAACCTTTGCCTGGACATGGCAGCAGGTTCTGTGAATTAAAAGACACATTTCACATTACAAAGACATGGAATTACATTTCATGAATTTGTAACCTTTAATATGTGTATATGGAAGCTAAAAAAATAAAGATTTTAAAAAATATTTATACAGCAAAATGTAACTTGACTGTAATTAAGTTAATATTGGTTTAAAAATGTAATATGCTTTCGTTTAAGCATTACAACACCGCTTCAAATGGAAAAAGTTTCATTTGATGTGGGTATTATATTACTTACAATTTATATATTATATTATAAAACAAATTTTAATTTGAAAAGTACCTTCGTGAGAAAGCATTTAGCGGTTTTTTCTCACACTCGGCATCAGGAATTGTGTCTTTCTTGAATATATCACGTTGGAACTGCACATTTGGATGCACTTCACCCAAAACCCCGCGCGTCATCAACCCCTATTCTTTAGGCAGGACCACTTTCGACTTATTTTTGTTTCCATTAACGTTTTCGTCTTGGTGATTAATCTAGCACAAAAAATACACTTGTAACGATTCCATTTGCAATGACAAAATTGTATAATTTAAACGAAAATATACTGCTTTCTTACCGTATGAGTCCTGCTTTGATTTTCCATCGTGGCTAAGAATTAACAAGCACGTGGAAGCTTAATAACCCTAGCCAAATCAAAGCTCCTTCAATTATATGTATGCGCAGTACAACATTTATGAACACTTGATATTTTACCGCTCTTAATTCACTCGATTGAAAAGACGTTATTAGAATGTCTTTAGGAACAGCTTGAAAATAAGGGAAATAATAAAGACAAAAATAACACCGACAAGTTAAAGAAATGGGTTTGTGCCCCTGTGATTGGCTCTTGTGCGATGAAAGAAATGAAATCAAATATTCTTAATTTTCTTATAAAAATTACTATAAAAATAATAATAAGTCCTTTGGGCAAAACTTGGTGTTAAATTTTAAGTAATTAAGTATTTTGGTAAATATAATTAACCTCCTTTTATAAAATCGTTTTGATTCAAAAAAAGTAAATAGTGATGGTCAACTCGAGTAGCTAACTCCGGTTAACTCGAGTCGGGCTTAACTCGAGTCAGCTCGAGTTGAATTCTCAATAACTCGAGTTCGAAAACCGAATAGAACCGACATAGAGCGAAGTTTGCCGATTATTTGAGACTATTTCCTCTATTGATATTCAACCTAATATGTTTGACAGTAAGATGAGAGTCAATAATAACAAGAATTTCATAGTTTCATTGATAGTAAATATTATTTTCAATTAAAATTCGAGCCAAAAATACTGAAATAAATGATTCGATTTCAAACAATAACTTTTTTTGTTTCTCTAGTTAGTAGGTATAACTCTCCCAATACATTATGAATAAATAATATAAAAAAATAAAGAATTAAAACAGATAAAAACATAATAAAATTTGTCTGTTCCAATTTTTTCAAGTATTTATGCAAATCTGAGGAATCTTGGTAAAAAATCAAAAAGAATCATTCACTGTCTGATCCAGTTAACTCGAGTTACGTGAATTTTAACTCGGGTCAAATCGAGTTTGGTTTTTTCCGAGTTGGCCCATCACTAAAAGTAAACCATAACCAAGCTCATTAGGATAAAATATGTTACCTGTATTAAATATTATTTATATCTCTATAGATTTAATAAAGGATATATAAGGAGATTTAATAGAGCTATTATAAGTTCGTAAAAAAAATATTGAGCTCTTTGTAATTATTTGACATGGGTTTAGTCCTATTTTGTATACCTGTGACCGTGACGCGAAAAAAAAACTTATCTAAGACAGAAGCATAGCTTTTGCTACTGGCTAAATAATAAAAAACATATACTTATAAGTTCGAGAAGTAATCAAATCATAAAAATGTAAGAATTACATATCATAATACATAATATATATGGTTGATTCTATATCATAATCTGTGATTTAACACATGTTAATGACATAATATTATTAAATACACATTCTCAACACTGCTTCTTTAATCTGTGCTGTGTTGGGTTGAATCTGCGGTATATCCCTTCATGTTATTATTTTAATTTACGTAAAATTCGTGTGTTGTAAAACTGCAGACTGAAAAATTAAAGTTGAAGACTGTTGACTAAATGAAAAATGTCGGATTCAATTGAATTGATTAAGAATGTAGGTGAGTAAATTAAAATGTGTCCAGATATTAATAATGTTAAACAACATTAGAACTGCTAGGTAACTTATTTCTGTTTATATTAGGCGAAGAAATGTTGGATTTAACTAAATTGTTGTATGAAATGTAGGTAAGGTAATTACAAGTCATTATTATATGTATAGTGTTCCACAATACTAAAAACTTATTTATTCTTATATTAGAAGAAAGAAAATTTAATTCATCTGAATTTATTGAGAGAAAAGTGCCAGAAAATGAGGAAAATGTTTCACCAGAAGAGACAGTATCTGCAGGTGAGAATCAAATGATATTATTATTAAGCAGCATTTGTGCAGAGAAGGGCTGGAAGAATATGATGCCGGGTCCCATACAGTCAATAGCAACAGCCAGTTAATTTTTTTATTACGAAAAGATAATTGATAACTTATGTTCAAAATTGAGGATAATATTGCACTTGTTGGAAGGTAGTACCTTAGGCATATAATATCATTGCTGTGAACTTATTTTGGCTTTGGCTGAAATCTAACTGCAGTTCTTCATTTCCTATCTTTTTCATCTGAGGGTTGATTGGGTACAGACTTTTAATATATATAATACCACCCAATAAATACCTAGGTTTTTCAGACAATTGAAACATATTAGACCTAGTGGAAATCAAAGTCACAACCCTTGAATTAAGAAGTTTTCTTTACTTTCAGGAACTACTGAATGCAGTAATAGTGAATCTAGGAAAAACAGTAACACAGGTGAGAAATCAGTTAAAATATTGTACTGTTCACAAATGAAATCATTTACCCGTGTCTATGTATATATTTAAAATGATTACATTTATGAAACAATAAGCTGAAAAATATGAATTATTATTTTCAGCTATTGAGAAAATTGAGAAAAATAATGCTGTAAATGGTTCTGTAGGTGAGTAAATTACTATTTTATTCTGATATCTATGATATTACACAATATTATTACTGAACTAATTAAACTCTATTTAAATTCGTTGACATAAGTTAGTGTGGAGAAGTGCAGTTGTTACTTTTCTTCTTTTATATACCATTTATTCAAACTGCATTTTAACATAATCATAAATTTCATAATTCATAACTATAAATAACCATAACTATATAGTTAGTACATAAGTAGATATATATAGTACATAAATTTATAGGATGTTCTATACATTTTTTTAAATAGATATTTTAATCTTTACTGTCCAGGCACTGTGTATCCAGTTTATCTGTAGTGTTTTCTTTTTAATTTTGTTTGAGGCCAGCATGCCAAAGTTTTTCAAGCTTGAGAATAAATATGTAAAACAATAATAATGTCACATGACTTGATTAACAATTGACTATTCAAAAGTGGGCACTTAAATCTAATTCAAATATTTTTTCTTTTTCAGCTGTTGATAAAGAAGTGACAGAAAAAAAGACCCTAAAAAGACGTAAGTTGAGTTGATCACCTAGTTTATCGAGTGCTATATTATCAGATCTTAACATATTATGCTTGCTGCTTCCAGCAATCGATGACGAAGTTAAAGATGAAGTTCGTGGAAAAAAAACTTGTGGTAAGTATTCTTCAACCTCGAAATATAGTCATTAATTTGTAACTAAAACCCGACGTTATTTCGTTGATATCACTCTCCTAAACAAATGTGAGATCATCAATAAAAATAAGTTTACCAATATCTTATGCGTTTTAAAGCATTTTACGGGATTTATTAAATCCTTTTTTATGCCATGTATTCTGTAGCAGTTGCTTCGAAAGTTTCAGTAACGATTTGTCGTTTCATTCAAAGTATTTCAGCTGTACTAAATTCGTTTTTTTTTATATATACCATATTAAATCATTATTCACTGTTGTAAATTGAATTTAACCCGGCCAAAATGTTCCAAGCTACAAATATAGTAGTATATATAAAATAAACAAAAAATATATTTATAGTTTTGAGTATTCTTTGAGAAAATAAGGATTTTACAGTACACAATGCTTCATGGGATAATCCAGCAAAAGCCAACTCGGAAAACATGCAGTTAAATAAGAAAGTGTTGCACATATCACCATTACCATGCCATTGGAAGAACGTAGATTTACACGATTTGATAAAAAAATATGTAGAAGTAAGTGTATTGTACATATGATATACTAGCTTTGTCCGCGTAGAATAGTTATTTTGGGCATGCAAATTCGTTTTGCAAACTCCTTCATCTTTATAAAATAAAGTGGGGCCCCAGGACGTCGGTCGCGTCCCTTCCCGTCGTTCTTGCAAGTTAATCTTAAACGATGGACATATTTTAGCGTCGCCGACTTTCTTTCAGATCTTTGAAAGAGAAATCATTCTATCATACATATTTTTTGGGTACGCCTCGAAAACCCAAAATGATGATAACTTTTTCTAATTTTTCTCGCTGTATCTTCGCTTGTAATAGTCACAGATGTTCGTCGTTCGTTCGTCGTATAAAACGGCCATTCTGTGTGGGTGGTGTGGGAAAAATTTTTCATCTCTGTGGGTTTCAGATGCGTAGTGCGAAAACGGTTAGACCCCGTTCTACTTTTAAGATAACTTGTAAAAACAACGGGACCCGAGCGACGCAACGCAACGCACCGGTGTTGTGGCCAGCTTAAATTTATAAAGATGGAGGAAAGAGGTTTGCAAAAACAAATTTGGATTGGAAACTATTCAACGCGGACGAAGTCACTGACACAGATAGTCCCTAGATATTTCTATAGAGATTTTTGTTTTATTTAATTTATTGCCTATTATTATTTTAGGCAGTATTTAAAAGAGTTTTGCATACTAGGAGAAATAAGCTATTTGGTGAAATTGTTTTCGAAGATGAGGAATCTGCCGCAGCCGCAATAAAGACTATTCATGGATTAGAAGTTCCATCTAAGAGGGGATTCACAGTACACCTGCAAGCCAAGTACCCACCGAGTAAGTAATATTTACTATGCTGCTATCGCCGTCTGTATATAAGTCTTGGTGCATATAATTAAAGCAAACTCTAGCCTATAAATATAAATTAGGCTTGCAACTAACTAATAGTATATTCGTCAGTATACCGAATATTCGGTTAGCCCCCCTGAACGTATAACCGAATATTCGGCAAAACTAAATCAGATTTAAGCTCGAAAATTGAAACAAATGTGTTCGTTTAATATTCTTACCGCATTAAATTAATTAAAGGTTTTAAAGAGAAATAGTGATTTGTAACTGTACATAGACGTATTTTAAAGATAATCTAAATGACAAAGCACCGTAAGCAAACTGTGCGAATTATAAATTTCGTATGATGATGTTAGGAGAAGTGACTAGGTGTCTCCCTGTGCACGGTGCATCAGTTCCACGCCCACAATAATTCTAATTAATTTCTTATACAAAAATGGATACGGGTAGTGGCACAGCTTAGGGCTGTCGCCTAATAGAGTGCAGCTTAGGGCTGTCGCTAATAGGTGCAGCTTAGGGCTGGCACATAACACGGAAAATGATGACTGAAATCTATATAGTTGACAATCATTGTATCTACAAAACGTCAGAGTCACTCAAAAATACGTGTCATATGCAATATGTGCATGATTTCTTTTAAAATAATGCAGTTTCTACCTTTTTTTTTCAGTGAATTTCGTGTACGGCCATCAAAGTGACAAACAAAAGGTTTTAAGGTATATATAAAAGTGTGATCATTTATAACAATATTATTTCGTTTTTTATATCAATCATATCGATCAGTAAAACAGCCACACAGTTTATCCAAAGTTCTACATAGGAGCAATTCAATTTTACTTAATTATTTATTTCAGAAATATTGAAAATACCAGCGATTCAGTCAAAACAGAGGAAATAAGACCAGTTAAGATAAAGACGGAAACTCCTAATAGTTTTTTGGTAATAGAACAAAGCACAGAGCAAGTTAAAATAAGAAAAAAGGAGTTACTCTTGTCTCCATTCGCCCATTGCCGTAAAGAAGAACTATTTGGACTCAACCCGAACTTCTTAGAAAGCCTTAACATCAAGCCTCCACTCACGAACGCCATTTGTGTCAGCAATGTATGTATAATAATTTATTTGTCAGTTGATCTATAGACTACTATAACTAAAGAAATAAAATAACAAATGCAATAGAATACAATAATACAATATCACATTACAATGCCTTGTTGGTACTTTAGTGAATTAAGAACTGTTACTGCAGTATGTACTAACTTTATTTTCTAAAGATTTTTATGATGACAATCTATACTTTTATACTAATATTATAAATGCGAAAGTAACTCTGTCTGTCTGTCTGTTTCTCCGAAAGTACTGACCTGATTTAAATGAAGGTTACATTTAGATTTGTTAGGTACACAGATATTTTAGAGCCTAAGAAAGGACATAGGCTTTTTAATGCTAAAAAAGGGAAATTCGTGGTTTTTGAAGCTAGAACAATGAAACTTTCTTCTTTTTCTTTTTGGGAATAGGAGTAGGAGTGAGTGTAGGAATGAGAGTGGGAGTTAGAGTAGGAGTGATGTGAGGTGAGAGTGTTGGGCAAAGTAGATTACACATAGATTGGCTGCTTTAAATGCGCCCTTAATAAATTAATAAACAGCCTAAATAATTAAAAATTCTACCCCAAGTCACTTTTTCACTGAAACGAAGTCGCGGGCACAGCTAGTGAGTTTATAAGTATCAGGTCTCGTCACCACTAGCTTAGAAGCTCGTTATAACGTCGGCCTTCTTTGAGTTACTATAGTGAAGCAGCGAATCGATGCGCAAATCTTAGATATTAAATTGTACTTTTTTTGGGTGTAAATATATGTAACATGTCTTTGTTTTGATTATCAGATATTTTTTTTATTTTATTTAAACCCTCTCTCCTATTAAGGAGGTAAGTAGGGGCATCGATGCCCCACTACTTACCTCCACACACGCCTCCTATCCTAGAGGCAAATAATTTTCTCTTTGTTTTTATACTTATTTTTTGTCATGATTATTGTATGCTATTTTTAGAAATAATAAAAAGGTTTGGTATTTAAATATTTGGCCAATAGGAATTATTTAATAACCTTAGTTTTCAAATAGTATCTTTCCAGATCATAATTCTTTTTTTTCTCCTTTTTCCGTTTCTTTCTCCTGTCTGAAACGTTCTTACTAACACCACCTACCTATAGGGCTTTCTTGTTTTCCCTTCGCATTTGGTTGCCTGGAAGAGATCGCTGTTTACTAATAAGGCCTCCCTTTTTTATTCATGTGTTTTTTTTTATAAATTATGGTGTTTGTAAATAATAAAGTCATAAAAATAAATATTTAAATACCAAATAGTAGTTATTAAAGGGAAAATGGTGTAGTTTTTTCTTTAATAACTTGTCAATCCCAATTTTATACTTTAATAATAAAGAAGATGGAAGAGTTTCAACCATCCGTCCGGTTATTATTGACGTTGACGTGACCTTGAGCCACAATACGTAATCACTCAAACAACAAATTCAATGTAGATCTACATCGATTTGTTTTACAAATAAAATGCCTTTTTAATAAAGAGCTTTGCGATATTATCATACTCTTATTAAATTAATAATCATTTTAGTTGGACGAATGCGTCACTGCGATGAAGATACGCGAGGTGTTTTCCATGGCCGGCACAGTGCTGTTTCACAATATAAGTACAAATCACACGGCGTTCGTCATGTATGAACATCCACTAGAAGCTGTACAGGTACATATATATGATATAGTAGCGGCACGGGTCTTTACGAAAAAACAATCCCGGGGAAAAGTAAAAAATAAGGTATCGAAGGGACGGAAGCGGGCGCGGGGCAAGTGAACGTCAAGCCCCGGATACACTAGGGAACATTTTGTCCCGCAACATGACGCGCAACACAAAATATACGTGACGCTGCAACGTTGAATAGTGTCTCGCAACATGACCCTCAACATTTTACGTGACGCGGGGCATGTTGCTTGCTCCCCCCTCGAGAGCGAGCGCATGTGACCCGCGTCAGTGTTGCGCCATTTGTCACAGAGTGTAGTCTGCCATTTGTCAGTAGTGTAATAAGAAATTCCGCATCCACCCCTTCCTTTCTCTTACGTTTCAACACACTCGATATAATTACTATGTACGCAGCACTAATAGCCACAACCTCCTCGGGCGACATTTCTATAAACACTGAGAAGTGTGGTCGACAAAATGTTCCGCGACATGTATTCGGCACATTCCACGTAGTTGTTGAGGAACATGTTCCGCTACATGTTGCTCCATGTCCCCTAGTGTATCCGTGGCTTCATGTGCGCTAGCGTTGATTGGTTCCCCAGTCGTGTTGTCTTTTTCGGACCAATATGACGCTCCGCTTGCTTCTCGAGTACAGTCAATTACGTGCGCGATTATTTAGATCCGCAACTATCCCCGTTCAGCGGTAAACATCCGTGCCGCGATCTATACTATGGTTTCTTTTTACCGATCTAAATTGTAAATGTAAGAGAGATATGGCCTATTGTAGATGTTATGAACAATAAGTGTCTATACTAATATTATAAAGCTGAAGTTAAAAAATATTTCTGTGTTGGTTAGGGCATTTATGGGGGAAGCTTTATAAAGATAATGAGAAGGAACTAACATACGTGGACGAAGTTGCAGCCACACCAAGTCTTAGAATAAAACTAAATGGTTATAACAAAAAAAAAAAAAAAAAAAAAAAAAAAAAAAAAAAAAAAAAAAAAAAAAAAAAAAAAAAAAAAAAAAGGGGGAAAGGGGGGGGGCGGAACAAGGAATTGATGGGGGCTGCCAAAAAATTACGGGGTTGGCTTAGTGCTTCCTGTATTGTCAGTTTCTGCATAAATTTTAAAACCCGGTTTAATAGGAAATATAGGACACAGGACTTTTAAGATACCTCCATTAGTTAGAGCAATAGCTCGGAACGCTGCGGATGTCGGTTCAAGTCCTGTTCGAGTCAGGAGAATATTTTTTTTATCAAATTATAATCGATTTAAAATTTATATAGTGCCATCATGTGCAATACTATGTGAAGAATATTAAAGTTTTTAACAATATCCGTTTTTTTAACAAACTTGCTTTCGAACTTTTTGTACCTCACAACTTAATGAATTATATAGCTACAATCAATCGTCTCCTTTTTAATGTTAGGTAATGCATTTTATCAATAGGTAAGTAATACGGAGGCAGTTTTATAGGTTATCACAATGTTAACGTTTGTTTCAGGCTATTTCCATGTTTCACAATAAAAAACTATTCAGTAAGATTCTGACAGTCGAATTGTGCAATAGTGATATTTATTTAAAAATGCAGAGAGACTTAATTGACTTACCAGAGGGACTCGAAGATATAGGTCCAGGGTTTGGATATGATGGAGCACCCGTCTCAAGTATATTTATGCTATCGGAAATAACAAAGATTAAAAATGTCCTCCTTGAAAGATTACCAAAACTGGATCCGACGATGAATGGGCAAGCATTATTTACTAATCTAAAACACAAAAGCAAATATATGTTGCAAAAGCCTACTGCTTTTCCGTTTCTTACATCGCCGTTGCATATAAACCCATTAGAGAGTAAGGGAAGTGAAAGTACAGGTGAAGACCATCTAAACTCCAATGATTATAATAATCTAATAGAGCCAGAAACGCAACGCCAAGAAAGTCCTCGTCAGCCCGGTCTTTTATCTAAAAATACTCCGCCCCACCGCCAACCTCTTCTTGCTCGCCATCAAACTCCGTCTTATCGGCCTAGCCGTCCCGCTAACCCAGCACACCCACGTCAGCGCGTGTCTCCTCTTCTCCCATCTCCCTCCTATCGCCCGTCAGCTAATCATCAGCCTGCCCCGTATTACACCGCGCAGAACTCGCAATATCCTTTCAAACCACCAACGCAACAAAAATCACAGTCCAGTAGTCCCCACGCCAGCCCCACGGCTCCTTTGCAATTACATTCGAGTATTGACAGAAAAACACATCCAAATATAAATAATCCTTTGCAATCTACCGGCCCTAACCAAACGCCTGATTTGAGTAGCATTTTGGTCATGTTACAGACTGCGCTTAGCCAATTGAATAGTAACAATAGTCAAAACCTTGCCTTTCAAAGCACGCAGAACCTAATGGGCGTATGTCAGAACGCGCAAATGTTGCAAAATATGCAGGGAATTGCAACTACCCCAATTATGGACTCAACCTCGTCGACGCAAATACAACAACTTTTGCAAAATCTATTAAACATGCAAAACCAAAACCAGCCAAATATGCAAGGTCTACAAAATGGAGTTCCCGGAGTTCCTAGCGTGTCCGAACAGGAGGGGGCTCCGGCTTCAAGATCAATAGGCGAATGGAATATACCAACGAAACGAAGCGCGCACAACAAATCGAAAAAGTCCTCAGGTAGACGCACATGCTTTGTTGTCAATGTATTAGACTAGCAAGACACCAACAACAAGGCCTTCGTTCTTTGTCCTAACTTATCTTAATTTAACATTAGTTATTAAGAAATTAGGGAAGAAAATATCAGTCGTATTCTTAGTATCGTCGAATATGCTTGTAATAATGTAAGTTTAATTACCTTCTTTTTCAGCCGAACCGATTTCAAAGGTGTCCGATATGCTAATGTTTGTTAACGTAAGTCTATTGTTCGTAATATCTTGAAATTATGTGCAAAACAGTGATTCTAAATAACATAGACACTTATGTTCCAGTTGCCCTCAACGGTAACCCAAGATATCTTTAAATATAAAATGGAAGAAGTTGGGGACCTAATCCTGGTAGAAGTTTTAGGCGAAGGTCGCGCCCTTGTCAAGTTTCGAGATGTGAAGGATGCAGAACGCTGTTTTAGTATCCTTTTATACGAACTGATGGTTGCTACTGGCATAAACTGTGAAACATAACGACATGGTACAAGGAGGGTAGGCGGCTCAAAACATAGTTTATATATTTTTTTATAGTCTTCTTGTTCAACTCTAAAATAAGAAAATCTTGTTCCTTAGCGATAATCAGAGTTATTTAACCGCTCAAAAGTGGACGGGGAAACAATTTTTGTCAGGAAAATGTAAAAATATATGGTAAGTAGGAACAAGGAAAACCTTATTTGCTATAATTATTTAAGTAATCCTAACAAAATACTTTTTTGGTACTTGGAAATAATGTATTGGTATTTTTTTTAATAAAATGGTTATTTCAGCAAAAATACTTGGATACTTGAAAATGCAATAGAAGGCCAGAGTTTTGGAGCCTCTTCGCATATTCAGCACCAACACAATAATTAATGTTTATATATCTTTCAAAGGCCTAATATATATTGCTGTATAATAATGAAAACAGCAATAGAGGAAATAACTATTAAAAAATGATAGTGCCTCGAAGAACAAGAAGCATTGATTGAAAACATTTCCCCAGACAGTTCTAGCATAAATAAAACCCTGAAACTAAATTGTTTATTCATTCCATAACATACTACTGCAATTTATCTAACCAGGGAAAAAATTATTCTTGTATTGTTTCACCTTTCTTTTAACTCGCATAATAATAAAGATAGTTTAAAGCCACTTTTTGTTTATTCTGAAATTCTATTTAGCTTTTGTTAGAAATGAAGAATATTTGTCTTTAAAAGAATAGTTCAGTTTATATATTCAGGATGGCTTGTATTAGTAAGAATAATGCAAAAATAAAAACTAGAAACAAATATTTTCTATTTTTATAATTTTTTTATAATTATGGAGTTTGACTTACCCTACAGACTGAGTAAGAAAAAAAAATGATGTGTGTTTTAAGTGATTTATTAACCCTTAATTGTCTATTCTCTCATCATCTTTTCCTTTTGGCGAGCAAGCTTCTTTTTCGAGAGCTTCTTCTTGGCGGGCGCGTCGTCTGTTGGCGCAGCACGGGCGACCGCGTCTTCACGTTCACTGAGGCACACTTCGATGTGGCATGGAGATGACATGTAGGGGTTAATACGACCATGAGCACGGTAGGTACGTCTTCGCAGGCAGGGAGCACGGTTTACCTGCAATATGACAATAAACAATTTCAATTTCCTTGTTTGTAAAACAATTGAACAAGTCATCAATGAGATTTAATATAAAATATGTCTGTGGCAATGAAAAAAACTAGTATATCAATAATATCCAGTTTAGAAATTTATAACACAAGTTTATATCTGCCTTTTGAAAACAATGTACACATAGAGCATAGAATGTCAAGCAAAAAAGGCATGAAAATAGAAGTAATATAAATAAGTTTTCGACATAAACTTATCAAAATTATTTCTTTTCTTGACAAAATAATATTTGTATTCAAAATTTATGATCATATTTGTATTCCCTACTATGCAGGTAATACACCTCAGGGCTTCCAGGATTATTTGTACATAATTACAAAATAAACAGTGGATTAATTAAAATAAACTTACTCTACCTAAAATAAAATATCTAGAGTACAATACCTGAATGTGGTCAATGACGAGCCTGTCAACATCCAAGCCCTTGTAGTCAGCATTAGATTCCGCATTCCGCAATAACTGCAGAAGAAATTCAGCAGATTTCTTTGGCCACCGACCCTGTGTGGTTCCAAATTGCTTGGCTTGTGCACATCTGCCTACACCACCATTAAATCTACGGAATGGAATGCATTCCTTTTTTTCTGTGACATTCTTAAGGTAGCGGACAGCCCGACGAAGAGGCATCTTTTTGATAGCCATAGCTGTTTCATAGGTGTTCTAAAAGATAAAGTTCAGTATTAGAAATTTCAGTTCAAGACTTGAATGTAACATTTGTAAACAATGTGATGTATCAATGTAGTACCTTGAAGTGAACGCGGAGATTTGATCCACGCGCCTTGCATGATTTCGCTGGATTATCGGGCTCCTTAGAATAACGACCCATTTTTGCTACTGAAAAATAAGAGCGGCTTTTAATCACAAGTCTAACACTTTAGAGGTTACGAATTGTTTATGTTATATTATAAACATTTTCACTAAAATAAAAGCACTTAGAACTTAATTTCACTGTTTAATGATATGGTGTGATAGCATTTTTTTCAATATAAGGTATTTTCTTTGATTAAAACAGATTTTCAAAACACGAAACCAACCTCTCAAACGACTATAAGAGCAAGAAAAGACACAGACATATAATATTATGTTAACGTCAAATGAAATGACAGTTGACAATTAACATTGTGAATGTGGAATTATTGCACAGCACCGTAGATAACCAATATTGCCCTATGTAGTGCTTAATCTGGTAACGCTTTATAAATAATAAAAAACCATTGACATTATTAATATGCAATTATTTTCAAAGTTATTGTGTACTCGAAGAGCTTCTTTTTGTAGACGTAAATCTAAATGATATAATGAATTCAAATAGAATAGATAGAGGGCTCTATTTATAGTTCCAGAATAAAACTTTTATAAAAACTGTATGATTTTTATTAAAATGTTGATAAGATTAGAATATATTTAAAATACTTTATTCGAAAGTTTTATTTTCAATATGTTAAATGACATATCTTCTTATATAAAAAAATATATATAAAAAGATGCTTTGCAACAGCCGTGGTCACTGGGAGGTTATCTAGCCTCTGACGTCAAAGTAAAAACCGCTACGCTAGCGCCATCTGTTCTATCGAAGTTGGTATTTGGCGAAACTGCCGGGTCCTAACAGAATTGACTAACAGTGTCTCCGCGTTTACCGGTATGCTGTATAATAAAGTGGTAAAAAACTACGGCTGCTGCAAAACATCTGAAACGTCGGGCCGTAGTTAAAAATAATTGTCAAATAAGTTTAACAAATAAGTATATATTGCGTTTTTAACCGTTAAAGTGTTGTATTTACCCTAATGTGATTTTTAAATTATTCAAATATTCAGTTGATTCCAATTTCTTTGTGGATAATATATAAAACATAAGGAGGTCAACATCTTAAAAGATAACACAGTTTATTCCTTTCATTTTTAATGATAACTCTATGTATACAATTTGAAACACCTAATCTTAATTCGTATAATATTTACAAAGTGATATGTTTTATATTAAATAGTTACGTTTTACTTAACACTACAATTTTCTAAATTCTACTTACTGTTGTGATAGGTGTAAAATTTCAGTAACAATGTGACATAAAGAATCAAACACGGTATTAACCAAAATTATTCCTGGTACGATTTTATATTAATCGATGATATTATGTGAATGTGAGTATTTAAATACTTTAATATTATTAAATTTTAATTACCTTCGTACTCTTGACAATGTTAGGATACCTTATCGATTATAGTACAATACATTATTTTAAAATATAATCTTAAATATCTATTACAATAATTAATTATTTAAAACGTTACTATGAATGTTTGTCTAGAACTTTTGCGCTTAGTATTGCTAAAATATAATGTAAGGCGTTTAAAATTTAAACTATTTTACATGTTATTTTTACAATTTCTTATAATATACAAGACTATCATATTGACTAGAAATAAATAATAAATGTATAATTAAGTATGTAACATACAGTAATTCAGCAAGAACATTGTAATTCTTTATCTTAACTATACGAATTATAAAAAGCGTAGTAAAGTAAAGTAAATTATTGCTTTTTCCACGTTAAGTTTCGATGGAGGCTAGTGTGTGTGTGTTGCGGTCGACAAAAGCGGCATTGGAGCCACGCAAGCGGCGCAGCCCTCTCGTTCTGAAAATATGATTAGCTTTAATTAAATGTAGATATTTATCGTCAGCCCTCAAACTGGAGACACGAGTTCCAACTTTATCTAGATCTCCAAATGATCAAAGGCATGCTGACGCCACAGACATGCTGCGGATGTATGGAAAAGGAAACTTGGCTATCTCTGCTTAATTAGCTAAGTAAGCACTTCGTGCCATAAGATACTAAAACGGTTTTAAACTTGACATTTATTTCAATTTTTATATGTTTACAAGCGTTTAGTAGCTTTACATAGCGTACCTATCATAGATGGACTGTCAAAACGTATGTTACTTTTTATAATTGTTAAATGAGGTATATGGACCATCCAAGTATTGCTCTTCTTATTTTAAGTCGGTACCGCTCTGGGCCCTTAAGGTAATGTTTTAAATTTATAGTAATTTGTATGTGATATGTAGTTCTACGGTTTATAGATCCCATAATGAATTTCATGCCTACCACGGTCGTGTACAAAATGTAGAGGAGGGCGGAGGTCTGGAAGTCTCCAGGGTTCTTCTTCACGTTCCACCTTCGGCACCAGAGGTATCGCACTCCAGCACTCCGGCCGAGGTGTTGCAGTTGAACGACAAGGCCAAGCGCAGGTCTGAAATGCAATCAGTATTATATTGTATGGAGAATACTTTGTTTCGTTACGTACTTTATTCTATTTTAAACTATTTATACAGTTCTGTAGCCTAAAGACATGAATGGTTTCTTCTTTTTTACTCTAGCACACTAATAAACTGTTTTAAAAGCATTGAACAATTTCTGTAAGTATTATCTTATTATATTAGACTAAAGGCGGTTGTTGCTGTAGTTACAACAATCATGTCTCGTCTCGTCTTTTGATATCGTCAAATGATCGACACGCGGTTTGCACTTCGCGGCCTTTTCATCTATGAACGGTGGTTCGAACGGTTCTTTACGGTCTTAGAAAAAAATATAGTATACATGTCTAAATAGTGCTTTAAAAAAATTAAATAACTTATAAACCCATTGGATCCGACACCCCGACTCGTTAGTTTTGGCCATTGATGACATCCAATGAGCTCCCCCAAATAATACCGCTAATTACAAACATACATCACATTACAATATTGTATATATAGAGCTATATAAAAAATATTTACGTAAGTTCTATTAAATTTATAAATAAGCATGACATAAAACTATATACTAGACACGTTAAAAAAGATTTGATTTAATAAAAAAACAAATAAAGGCACGATTACACGACTAATGAATCTAGCATTTTTTATAATGCATTTACCTGACACGAGTAATTACCGTTTAAAGATACCACTTGAATAAATAAAGCTCAATTGACGATAATTATGGATGGTAGAGCTTAGATAACCGTCACGAAATCGTCGCTTATCAAATCGGATCGGACACGTCACGGCTCTATTTACAGAATATATAACTGTGCCATTATCTATGAAAAATCATTATCTATCTAAAAGTTATGAAAAGTTTAATTTCAGGCAACTCAACCCTGTAAATTAGAAATTCTAATTATATTTTGTTTTTATATATTAAGAATTGTATACTATATTTAAAGGGGTACTTAATTTTCAGATAAAACGTGAAGGATAATGCGGTGTTCCCATTTTTATTTATGCGACTTATACAATCTACTTAACTTCTTCGTCATTCAAAAATATGTAGGTACAACATTTGTTGTACCTGGATACGATTCCGGAGTCCTTAGCGAAATTTTAACATATACAATGGTAACGAACTTTAAAACAACTAAATTCTCTAGCTGTCTATCCGTGGATTTTGTTTTAATTGAAAGTTCATCCGCTAGTAGTAAATATGGCTCCTGAGCCTAAAAACACCAGAATAAATGGCTTATTTCGAAAAGCATTTGCTATTATGGCGAACAGAAAAATTAATGTTCCGCACGCGCGCTAATAAAACGTACTCAAATGCCATCTCCCACGCCCCAATACCAGTCCCAAATGACGTTGGTAAATAAAAAACTAAATGCCAACTCGACATTTGTAACCAAAGTTATGGGTTACGATTACGCATCGTATGAACAGTCCTATTCTAATATTTTTTACGACAGCAGAGAACAGATAAGCCTGAGGTTCTCTTGGTGGAAAGTACCGTATCCAATAAAATAATGCGTACATGCGTTGTTGACCTATTTGCACATTTAAATAGCCAAAGACCGAAACGCGAATCGAAAGTCCGGGCTTTTTTATCTGAAGACGGTAGATCGTCGCTCGGGCGGTATTTAGATATTTCTACCTTCTATAGTCTTTAATCAGACATAACATGATTAAAAAAAAATATGAATCTGAACTTGGTCAACCCCCGATAGGAATCGTGCTCACCACACGTTGGTTATTAACCATTAACAGTCTTTTTAAATAGGTTAAAAAATGGTTTCTCTTCTTTTCTTTTGTGCTTATCTCTGTCAAGATGAAGTTTGGAGCTCTCTAAGCCCCGGCTTCTAGTGCACTACACCACCTGCCCTGCGATAGCTACACTATTGTACAGCAACGAAATCATTACCCTTCCTTTTGTTTACGCCCTTGTCGGTTAACATGTGCTTAAATAGTATAGTGGACAGTGCCATTTTAAATTCTGTACCGCGGATTTTCAGAGTCTTTTTATCAAATATTCTGTAGGTTAGAAAGAAGATGTATTTGGGCCACATCTGTCGCATGATAAATCTCTGTTTGTTTTAGTGTTTCGTAACAATGGTCTGGTACAATGGTCTGCGTTCGTGTTAAACTTTTTTCACATTATATTTCAGTTTGAAAAACCACTTTCATTATAATCTTGTTATGTCAAGGAATATTTTTAATAATTTCTATGTAAACTGGTTTTTAATCCAAAACAATGCGTAGTATTCATCTACTATTTATATATTAAACAAGAACTTTTTTACCGGCTTAAACACCGACATATATATACATATCAAATGACAGCTGCTACAAAGCGTCCGAACTTCGGACCGTATTTAAAAGCAAAAAGTTTTTTATTTAATTTTTACTACTCGCGTAAAGTACAGACAGCTTCTAACCATTATTTGCATCAAACATATTATTTATTAGATAAAAAAAAATTTTGAACCCAGTGGTGACCGAAGTCACGACCCGTTACTTTGCTACCATTACACCAGCGGTAGTTAGTGTTAATTTGAAATATATATACCGTAATCAAAACCTACAATCAAGATTTTTTTAAGTAATTTGAAATGGCTTTGTTGCCATGTCTCAAAAATAATTAATTGTTATCTAAATAATGAATGGCAAATCCTTATTGTCCTCGGAGCGTGTAATTAAGTCCCCCCGCGCTCCCCGTTCCCGGGGGACATGCATCCATGTGTCATTTGTGTGCATATCGCTTATTCAATTGCGCCCGGTCGCCTCTAGGCACATCACTAGTATAATCTAAAATATTCATTGTAATTAAATGTCATCTACCTATCAGGGATCCATACTGATATTATAGAGCTGAAGAATTTGTTTGTTTGTACGCGCTAATCTCACGAATTACTGGTTCGAATTGAACAATTTTGTGTTGGTTTGACCATTTAATGAGGAAGCAGGGTATAAAATAGAAGCTTTTTAAGATTAATTTTCCACATTTCCCTCTATTTCCTCGCTGCTATTGGTCGTTAATGGTCCAACCAACATAAAAATATTTTTTCAATTTGTACCAGTAAATCCTGAGATTAACGCGTTCAAACTAACAAACGAACAAACTCTTCAGCTTAATATAAGTATAGATTCAGATTTTTTTACTACCTTTGTCATTATATAATATAGTGAGTTCGGATATTTTATATTACTACTTTTTTTCGCAACTATTCCTTTTATAAAATTAAATACATAATTCACATTTAAATATGGAATACTATTACGAAGATATGCAGTAAAATTTAATATTTTTTAATGTGGTACATAATCCTTAAAATAATAACATTAGTTTATTATCCCTTATATAACACGTCAGGGACTTCAGGAACGCTCATACATAAGTAAAGCTCGTCAGTAAACCCGGCACGTACTTAATAGATACTTTGCCGCGAAACGATTCAATTGTATAGCTTGATGTTGTTATAAATCACTGTTGCCTTGTTCTAAAAAGCCAACAGTGTCACGTTCGGCGCTTAAGGGCACACTTTTTATTTATTTTTGTACTTTACTTTATATAAAACACTTTTTAACGGTTTAAAACGCGATATATATTGGTTAACTTATTTTAACTACGACACACTTTCCAAAAATCTTCTATATAAACAAAACGAAATTATTGAAAATGACTTCTTCAAGCCAGTTAAACCAAAACTTTATTAATCACTTTTCAAAGACGTTACAGATTTGTCTGTGTACCGATTATATTTTTATTGTTTTGCCGGGATTCGAAACCAGGACCGCTTGCGCTTTGCAATATTACGCAATCGTGTAATCTTAAAAACTAGAAGACGAGTCGTTAAATAAAATATATGTGTGTATTTATTTCTTTTGTTATGATCCATCATTGGGTCCAATATCAAATTCTTATAAGTAATAAACATTAAAAGCTTTCGACACATTAATAAAAAACTGTGTAACTAAGTCAAAATCGATAACGCTATGAAACAACGCACTAATATTTACAAAACGATATCAGATATCGAGTTTTAATTTCGTAAATCGTCCAAAGTGTACTCACCACGCTATGAGCACAGAATGTTGTAAACAGTAATACCATGATAAAAAAACGTACGTGAGGCTACGTTAGCTACGGTAGTGTGAACTAATAAAAAAAATATTATAAAACGAGTATTATAAGAATGTATTTTTTTCTCTATAACTTAATTTATGAATAATCAAACTACGAAATAATACGAATATCTTAAGCTAAAATATCGAAGATAATCAAAATAGGACGACAGCGCATCTTGTTTAGAAGCTATAGGCTGGGGTATATCACCTACCAACCTATCAAGTGAACCACATTCTTATTTGTTCTCCTCTATTATTAAAATATATATATTACATGCGATTATCGAATTATATATTTCGTACTACCTATTTAAATATGAGTGAATGGGACTACTGTTTATAAGTAAACTGTGGTATATTCAAGTATGTTTGTTTTCCACGCCTTAATTTGGATGAAACACGCGCGATTGTAATCTCTTTTAAAAGTACTTAATTCGATTATTTCCATTCGATTGTAATATTATTATCATAGTAGAAAGATAATATGTTTGTTTTAAGTGTAATTGTATTTTTATTATAATTTATTTATTTTAATTTATAAACAACAAAAACAGCAGTGCTTATAAAAAGAAGCATTGTTTTTTTAAGCAATATCTACTAAAAAAATCCTCAAATCAAATTTTAGATATTCATATCTCAAAAATAAATGCCAAAAAATACGTTTGTTTAACACAAATCATCCCAAGAAATATATTTAAATAAAACACTTTAACGGTTTAAAACGCGATATATATTAGTTAGTTGAGACTCCCCGTGACCCACGGCTGCTGAAAGCACCCGAAACGTCGGGCTATAGTTAAAATATTTTTCTCTATCAAGTTTAACTAATATATGTCGCGTTTTAAACCGTTAAAGTGTTTTATTTAAATGTGTACTCGCGTAAACTAGAGACAGTATTTAAGAAACCTATTGTTATTTTTCTTCGCTACGTCGTCGTCGGAAAAAGGTTTACAATATAGACCTAGATATCTACAAACATAACTGTTCATAAAAATACTTGAAATAATTGAATACGCTCTCAATAACTTAAAAGCACCTCCAGCGATTAGATAAGCCGATTTGATATGGAAGTAACCTGCATCCGATTGAAAGCTAATTGAGCAGCAATTTATTGTTTGTCAGAGATTCCATTTCAATATTAGTTCGCATTATATTCTAAACAAGGTTATTCTTTATTTCAGAGGAAGACAGACTAGCACGGCTTCCTTTTTGTTGGATTTTTAATTATATTAGTTGAATGACGTTTAACTACGAATCAACTAACTAAAGCTTTTGGATGTTGGACGCGAAAAGATTAAAACTGGCAGATCAATATTTAAAGGCTTTTTAACAGATGGGGGGGGGAGGCAATGATTCGCGTTTACAGTAAGGCTCGTTTTTGTAATGGTAGCAATTTATAGCTAATAATCAACGGGTCGTGGGTTCGACATGTTGGACAGCGTCTGGAAATCTGGATATTTAATAGGTGGTAAGAATATGTAAATTTTGTCCGGGCCGCCAACCACAGATGAAAAAGAAACTAATTTAATCACGTTCAATTCAGGTCAGTCTCGAATTTCCGAATATCCAAATCCAAAATAGCTGGGGTCTACCTTCCATCAAGTTAACCCCGTGATTGTCTGTCGTCCTCTATCATAATAAAGATGGAACCTGAAGGAAATTTCGATATTTGTGGTACTTAATTGAACAGACCATATTTACAGACACTGACATGTCTGTAAATGTCTGCCCATGCTCCGTATTGACTGACTCTTTTCATATCGAATAACGAACGTATAATCTTAGTAAGTAGCCCCTAATAACACATAATAAACATATCGACAAAGTAAGTGGGGGGTGATGAAATAACATCAACCCTACCGTTTGAGGGATTAAGCAGCCACTTTAATTACTAGGTTTGCGTCGTTCATTAGAGAAGCTTTGACGCCTCGCATTTAACGGGTAAATACTTGTTACGTCGAATAATAACTCGAAGACGTTAATTGTTACTTAATCTCTTTTAATACTTAGGATCGGCGTCGATTTATAAACAACGATAAAGTCGACGCGACCATGGGCCTTTTACAAATATTTTTACTTACTTTTGAAGTTAAAATATCTAGTTTTTCTAATAGAAATATGAAAACAATCCTATTTCCAGCCTACGAAAGAACCTTTTTTATGCTATGTATTGCTAAATTTGACATAAAAACAATATTGCTAACTGTCAAAGGTCATGTCATGGTAAGGAATGTTTTACGGTGACGTCACCGAAAAACATTTAATCGAAACAATATTAAAATAACCTTATTTTAAAAATGTCATGTTATGACATTTGAAAGTAAGATTAGATTAATACTGATGTAGAAGATGGTGGTAAGCCCTCAGGTATTAGTTCTAGACTAGTTCCCTCAGCTGGGGTACGAGTCTCTTAAGAATAAGGTACATAGATAGATGTTTTGGTGCCCGACTGGAGATCGAACACTCCGTCTACGCGAACGCAAATCAAACCACTAGACTAACACTCAACAAGGATGTATCTCGAAAATCATAAAACTTTAAGATTATTTTGAAATAAAGAAGAGAAATAGAAATAAAACATTTGTTAAATGATACGTTTTATGTTTTACTTAATAAAAAATAAACTAAGCAACCTCGTTTTAAACCCTTAAAGTGTTTTATTTAAGTGTTAAAGTATACACAAGTGATTGCTACCATTTAGTATTAATCCTGAATTTTAAATGGAATAATACTATGAAAGAAAATTATGACTTCCCATCTTTGTACTGCGCAATTAAAATTGTACCCACCGTGGATACAATTACTGTAACGCGTTACTATTAGCAACGACAGTTTACGTAAACGTCCTATTCAAATCCCGGCTTCGCTTTGAACACAGACGAAAGTAAAAAGTTGAATTACACGCGAAACGAAAATCCCCAATTAATTGGTCCCGTGGAATCCAGTTGGTACTAAATTAAACATTTTCCCTTATTTAAAGGCGAAATGAAGTCCATTTAAATTCGCGTCAGTAATTACAGAGGTTACGACGTGCGAAGCATTTAGATGTGTAAGTGTTTCCACTGGGGCATGGGGCAAACATATTTCTATGTCCGTTTTACATTTTAAAAAAATACAGGCATGTTTCTGTGATCTGCCTAATCTGTTTAAACTTTTCTTTAGCTACCAAAATACCCTATATATTGTAAAGAATTTATTACCAGAAGAATTTAATGTAACATAATGCAACTAATGCATACGTAGCTTATAATTAATTACTTACTAATGTGCTGTCAGCCTATTTTTGTTTTGTATATTCGAAAATCCACAGACTAAAACCGAGACGCGATTATACTTCACGGATTTTCATCTGTGTTGGTTCGGGACTCAGACGAAATGTTGATATTCCTACCACCTATGTAATATCCAACAGTCCAAAATTATTGTAATCGATTAGAAAAATATTGTAACAGAAGCGGATCGATCAGTAGCCACTTTAAAAAAGAAATGTTCAGTGCCTGAATAAACGTTTTATCATAGAAAAGTTTATGTTGATAGAAGCTAGACGAGCACTTCTCTTATTTCTTCGCAAATACGTTTAAAAGAAACTACTGAGTAACCTAAAAAGACAAGTCTAATCGCAGATTACGAGGTGCTTGTGATTGGAAAAATTTCTCGAACTTTTTAAATTGGATCGCTCTCGGACGGTTTGGCTCGAATGCGAATGGGGAGTAGATAATGCGATTTCTTCAATACTTAGGTATTAAATTGCAACTCTGAACGTTTACTGTACGTTTCTATTCATCTAGTATTATGTATTGGCAAGTGTACGCTGTGTTAGTACGAAATGACTCAAAGCCGTTCAATTTTCAGAGAGGAAAAGGGACTGATATATGATCCATTAGTAATATATTGTGTTTCCTCAAAATATTTTCTAAAGTATGAATTTCAAAAAGTAACTTTAGAGGGATAGAAACAAACTAAGTATTCTCTTTTTAACATTTCAAGAAGTATTTCATTGTTTGCAGATAAAAGTTTTTAGTTTCATAAATCCTTACAAAATTTAAGTTTTCACATGATGGCACAATACAAATTAAAAATCGATTAAAATTTGAAAAAATTTAACCGGCATCCACAGCACATATTTTTGCCCTAACAGCTAACCAATTGACTTGTTTGTACTAGCGTAAAGTACAGGTAAATAAATCTATAAAATATTCCTAAGAAATATTAACCTCGTTATTATAAAATTTATATCTTAAAAAAATATAGCCACTAAAGTTAACGAATGTTATCGATATCTGACTCACCAAATCCTTATTCTGATCATCTTCCGTGGTTTCGATATCTACGCTCTCGTCGCTATCTCGGTCGCTCTTTGTTGAACGCGCTGGTGATGAGCGGAGCGGGGAGCGTAGCGGGGAGCGGGTTGGTGACTGCCGTGGAGAGCGAAGTGGCGACCGACTGTTTGGTGATTTGTTTAGAGGCGATCTACTGAGAAAAAAAAATTAACACATTTATTTTTTGTAGAAGAATTACAATAAATCACTTTTATCTGATACAAATTTTTTAGGCTTTTTTTGTCTTATCGTATTAATGAAATGAATAAGTTGCGGGTAAGTTCACTTAACATTTTGCGAATTCTAACTTGAGTACAAACAAGAAACAAAAGTTTTTAACATGCTTTAGTTCTTATACACTATTATAATGTAAAATTATAAATTTATATATTGATTGTGAAGGTAAAAGCTAACATTATAGCTTCGAATCCCGACAGTGACATAAATTTTTCAAAAAAAATAACATGTAAACAATATGTAAGTTTTAATTTGTAGAACAAAAAAAAATACCTATTAGGTGATCGGGAAGGTGAAGTAAGTGGTGATATCTGCGGAGAATCCAGTCGGTGTGTGATGACAGGTCGGAAAGCTCGTGGTTCCTCCATACCCCCCACGCCACTGAGTGCAGTTAGTGCACCTAACGTATTAACAAAATATTACGACATTGAAAAGAGGTATTTAAAAAATAAAATTATTACGTACATTTTAATTTTCACGCTGATGTTTTCCTAATCTTACCTGGTGTCCATAAACTTGGCTTCAGCCATGGTAGAGCGTAAGGGAGAGGTAGCCTGGCTCCCCAGACATAGTCAGCAAGTCTAGGCACAGGTGTATGTGCACTTGGTGGGCTGGCAGGCACACGCTTGGCTTCGCTGTCCTCCGGCCTGCGAATAGGCACTCTTCTGTGGCACAATTTAAAGCTGCACTTTTTGAATAGAGTCACATAAAAACTTATAAGTTCTTCAACTAAAAATAATATAATATACTTTCTAACATTTTTTATTTACAAACGCAACGTAAATGCATTATTAGTAGTCTTAATTCCTTGAACGGCATGGGGTAGAATTATAAAAAATAATGTTGATTTGTATAGTGGTCTTGTATCTTTTATTTTTAAATTTATAAGCAAAATAAAACTATCGGACATTTACCTAGCAGCTGATAACATCCGTTTCCTCGTTCCCCCGTTAAACATTGCCTTTACGTCTTCCCAGGCGTGGACTACCTCGACGGGAGGATTCCCACTAAGTTTCATGTGTCGTCGCCAAGAGTTGAAGTTAGCAGCATCCGGTTGCACATACTTATCACCTGGGCCCACTCGATGAGAGTGGAAAATGAATTTATTTGGTGAAAAGAACAAACCGCAGTATGTGCATTTGATGCACTTGGCGCGAGATGAGTTGTATCTAAAAAGTAAGATAAAATAATGTCTGTAGATTACGCGAGTAGTGCTCATACAAAGCAATTTAACGGTTTGAAACGTGAAATATAATAGTGAAAATTGTTTGAAAAATATTTAAAATACAGCCCGACATTTCGGTTCCTTTGCAGCAGCAAGTTACGCAGCTCCGTTTCCCCGTAACCGGTTAAACTTATTTGAACTTTGAAACAATTTTCAAATAAATTTAACTTTTAAATTAAAAGTAAAAGATGTTCAAAGCCAGAAGAGTTTTTAACTTTCCACTTTGAATATTTTATGAAAGCAACTCACCTAGCCGGTAAAAAAGCGCCGCGACAACCCCAAGCGCACTCATGATGAACGGCAAAAGCGAAGTCATCAGGTAACCTGGGCGGAGCATTGTCACCCAGGAATGATTTGCATAGACGTTCAGCTTCTCGACGTGTTATCATACCTAGATAGCATTATTTCGTTTATCTATACTAATAAATAATAAAGAGTTTGCTTGTATGTTTAGCGTTTATCTCGGGAACTACTGATTCGAATTGAAAAATATGTTTTTGTTGGATAAACCAATTATCGGGCAGGCTTTACGCTATAAAACATCAGGCTGTGAACCATAATAGCAAAGAAACAGGGAGAAAATTAAAAATGGGACAATTATTAATATTTGAGTAGCGTGCTCTGCGAAATATTTCAAGATTTAAATAAAACACTTTAACGGTTTAAAACGCGATATATTAGTTAAACTTATTTAAAAATGATTTTTAACTTCTGCTGCTGCAAAACATCCGAAACGTCGGGCCAAAGTTAAAAATCATTTTCAAATAAGTTTAACTAATATATCGCGTTTAAAACCATTAAAGTGTTTTATTTAAATGTTTACTACTCGCGTAAACTATAGACAGTATGTATGAAAGTATTTTTCTCGAAATAATCTCAGCAAACGGCCGCGACTATACATTTTAAGATTAACTCTCAAAAATCAAATCTAGTCCCTTATCAAGCAAAGAAAATCAAAGTTTGCCTTTGATATGAAAATGTAACTAAGTCTTGTAAGCCAATAATTTATTTTGGTTACATGCATATTCTAAATTCAAAAATCGCGACGTTGTAAACTCAGTTTTACTGCTGTATAGTGTAATGTTTATTGAAAGAAATTTTAATCGTTTTACACTAATAAACAATTTACATAAAAAAATACAATCTCTTAAAGTGGTTATAGACTTTTATATAACGATAATCATTATCTACTTACCACAACGTCTAGAAGACACGGGCATAGCTCCCGCCCGCCTCAAGATTTCAAGCTGCACTGGAGTACACTGGACACAAGTTATGCCTAACGCTACTCGTCTATTGTGGATCTCATTATATGAAAACTGCTTTAACAGTGTGTTTGATATCTGGGCGAGACATAATCGCTCATTCCCCTCTATCACCAAAGAGACGATTGGTACTCCATATAACAGTACTGTGCCGACCTTGTAAGAAAAATAACGTTATTGTCTATAGTCTTCTATCATTATCATCTCTTTATTAGTTATCTATACTGTTAGGTCGGTTGTCCTGTAAAAAGCCCTTAAACTACCGCAGATGCCACACGTCCATTTTGATTCAGAGTTCACGATTTTATCACTAATAAATGCAATAATAACGTATTATCTTAATCGTTGTTACTCTAATTAGTTACTTACATCCAGTATTCATTTTACTTACTTGATTTGGTTTACTATTGATTTCTAGTGATTTGTGGTCAGGTCGAGATTTGAGTGTCTCCCTTGGAGATATAGCTAAATTTGTTGCCTCCATCCTGTAATATAATTAGTAATCTTCATCTACCCTCGTTTTACATAAAATTAAACATGGAATATCTTCTTTGATTCTATGGGCAGCGTTCGTTAATTCGAGAAAAATATTTATTAGATTTTAAATTTTAACATCGTAGTTTTTTCAATCGAATAGTTGTTAAGTTTAGTTATTGTTATTCAACCGATTCTAACAAAATAAAACTTATGTTGTCTCAAACTTAGTTAATCTTTAAGGAAAAGTACTTTCAAAAATAAGCGTATACATACAGATAATAAAATACATATTATGTATTCCTGTAGTCTTCTTTAATAATTAGTCCAGATGTTTTTTTTAATATAAAATAAACAAACAAAAAACCTATTACATTATTATAATTATATTGGTCGTTTGACAAACATTTGCAATCCTAACCTAATTATATTTCTTAGCTTAATACCCCATTAAATTTGTTCGATTAATTTTTCCATGTAATAAAACAGCTATTCCAAAACTGTGTGATTCCGCACAAAAGATCATTTATACAAATTGGCAGTCTGCGTGTGAATACACTGTATCGAATATCAATTGGTTTTATGATCGGGGGTGATAATGTATGGCGCCCGCCCCTTTAGAGCGCTTTTGTTAACTTTTTTTTCGTCATAAGTATTAAAGCGTAATCGCTAAGTAACTTTGCCTTAAACAACACGTATTTGAAGCTCCTTGGATTTTTTTACTGCTCCGCCGTCGGAATTGAAAAATATATCTAGAGGCGAAGACTAAATCTAAGTCAAGTAGCGCGCAATGTCAAAAAGCAAAAGGTCGAAAACGGTAAATAACGCCGGCTAAAGTTCGAAACACGAAAAACGATTTTTTTTGTATAAATATACTTTGAATATTAATGTATATATAAAGCTATCATTTGAAGCAAAGTTTTAATTCGTCGTTGTTTTAAGTACGTATATATTTTATTCAATGATATCAAGAATGTAAATTATTTAGATAATGTCTAACATTTTTATAATAATTAATTTCAAAGCACATTTTTTTATTCCACTAACGCGCAAGAGTGTATGTTTTGTATTGTAGCCACTTGGCATTTAAAATTTCAACCCCTCCTTGAACAATTATTTTGAACTACCAAACATATCAACACACAAATAAATCATTTTACTTTGAGTAAGGGGGGAATAGAGATGCAAAGATACTGTATATTGAGACTTAGCATGTTTGAATTTTTGCAAGCACATGTTTTAAAACATATTAAACTCTACGTCATAATCTATAATAATTAATGGTTTCACATGTTATTATAATGCACATAATATCACAAATTATATTAAAATTTTATTTATATTAAGAAAATATGACACGAGCGGGACTTGAACCGGCACTACAGGATTACGTACTGCTCTTATCATTTTAACTAGTATGTCAAACAAGTTTAAATCCCGCCTGTGTCATATTTTGTTTGATATGAACAGATTTTTAATTTATTTACAGTTGCGAAATGTACGTATAGAATTATATAAATCTATGAAGTATTTTAAAAGAAACTAACAACGCACCATGTTAACATTCTACCTATTAAATCAGTCAACCTATTATTAGTATTATATAATATTGTCGATATTAGTTTCGTATATTTCTTTAATCTTTAAATAAGTTCAAACCTTAAAACTAAATATTATAAATGCAACAAAATTTTGTTCAAAAATATATTGTCATTCAAATTAAAGATGTGACCATAGCGAAGGGCGTGAACAGTTAACTTGTCTGGGGTCGCAAGCGCACAAAATTGATTACACAAAATGGCATTACATTAAAGTAATGATTGCATATGTTGCTTTTTTGTTAGGGATACGATTGTGGCAATCTCGTACACAAATTGGGTAATTTCGTTAGCTTTGTGTGTTATTTACGAGAGAAGAACACATTTAAATAAAGTACGCTGAACCGTTTAAAACGCCTTGAATATTACATATTTATAAAAAAACACTCTTAGCGAAAGCATCCGAAACGCCAGGCCGTAATTATATTTAATTGTAAGTAAGTTAAGTAATAAATTTCACGTTTTAAACCGTTAAAATTGTTTTATTTAAATGTATATAATCTTTATATAACACCACTATGGTGGCTACGGCAATTCCAAAACATCTATAACGCCGGGCTGTTAAGATTAAGTTAAATAATTTCGCGTTTTAACCCGTCAAGAGTATTTTATTTCAATTATTTAAAGTCTTGTAGTTGTACATACGTTTTTTTAGTTTCTTAAGTTTACTAACCCCCGTTAATTTTAAATCTGTATTATCCAACTACACGATACTTAAGTATTAATTATTTCAACAACAACGTATCCCATTTCATATTTTCCGCTCCACATGTGAAAAAAAGTGCAGTTGTGAACATTGTCGATTCGCTATCATATGTAATTATCCCTTATAAGAGCCATATGGTGATGTTTCGGGCCCGATCCATCCCGGGAGGATCGAACACTTGCTTCGGAACTAATCGTTATCCAGCCTCTTCAATGTGTTACGCCCTTCCTAACAATTTATTTCGTACTTTACTATTTTGAATATTTATATAAATTTATTTTATTTGAAAACATGCAAAGCATACAAACTTACAGGCATAATGTTGTAATTATTAATCGAATAATGCTAAAATTGTTATCAAACTTAGAAGCATTTGTAAGTAAGGCTAATAATCGAACCCCACTGGGTCCAACATAATTATAAACAATTTATACATTTTTTGAAACATATGGAATTCGTTTTAAAACGTTATTATTTTTTACATGTTATTGCACATGAAGGCACTATATAATTTAAAAATCGAAAATAAAATGAAAAAATTTTCAGCGTTCCGTGCTGTTGCTCTACCAATTGAGCTACCAAGTCCCAAATTTAGTCAATTTATTTTCGATTTTTAAATTATATGGAATTCGGCTGGAAATCTGAATATTAGGTATCGGTGGTAGGAATATCGAAATTCGGTTACAGATGAGAAAGCTGTTCGGAACATCGAAAAAAAAAAGCTTGTTGTCGACAGAGCATTGTCTTAAACAGAATCTGGTTGGGGCATTTCCCCTATCATAACTTAACAAAAAACTACCTCTATCTAACTTAAAAAACTACCTCTATCATAACTTAACAAAAAACTACCTCTATCATAACTTAACAAAAAATTTAAACAAGATTTGAAAAGCCAACTTACTGCATACCGCACTGAAATATATAATTTATAATCATAATTCTAATAATATGAATGATGATAAATGATAAATTAATAAAAAAGATGTGTATTGCTTATGTAACAGTTTCTGTCTATTTCTTAAAATTTTGATATGACTTTAATATTTAATCTTTTAACGTATATGATGATCTACGAGTATGACAAATATATTAGAGTAGAAATGTAAATACTATTTGATATAGGCGTAATTCGAACCTGCGAAACAAGTCATTCAAAATACTTCTTTCTATGAGCGCATAGACAATCGTATGTCTCCACTGACAGCTGTCATTTTGACAATAACACAACGTCTCTATATACTGTAAATTGTATGTAATTGTGAAACAATGGCACAAACAGCGGGAGTAAAACCATTCCCCATAGCTGGACGCGTCGCTTCAGAGAGAGAGCGTTGTATTGGCATGACCCACGTTGAGAGACAATGGAGAAAACAGTGGTTACAAGATCAGATCCTATCAAAGAACGAACCAGTATTTGTTGAGCAGTACTGGAGGGAGCGAATTAACCCCATTCGGCGTTTGTACCGAATGCCTTTGGATTTAGTCTTCGGTGTTCTCACCGGAGTATTAGGAGAAAATAGGGCTGCAGATTATCGATACATAACTGGAAAGCTAGGATTAATAGCCGTCGGTGTCTTATCTGCGCATTATTATTTCAAATATGGCGGCAATGATTGGACGAAAAAGGGCGGTTTCAGAGTTTTGACTTCCAAGCCGATGGTGCTACCGGGTCAAGAAGGCTTTCCATTCATAACTAACAAGAAAGTCGATGACTATGCGGATAGAGGTTTCAAGAAGTCTGTTCTCTATAAATAGTAACATTTGTTGTTAAAATTCTAGTATTTTGTCAGAATGTTTTTTTAATACTTCTTTTAATTCATGTCATGTAATAATGTTAGAAACATTGAAAATAAAAATAAAATCTCAATTATATTGAATATTTTTTCTTATATATTAAAATTTAGTGGCATATCTAAGTAATCATTTATTTCCCCTATAACTTCGTCAAGTATAGGTCAGTCACGGTATTTGTGTTTACCGGATCAATTTTATTAACAAGTAATTAAGTTGATCAAACTTCTGTGCAAACGGAGACTATATTTTTTTCCCGATTTCGAGTCCAGAATCACTACTACCCTATTATGTAAGTATTACTACTGGTCAAATTGTGTATAAGAGGAATTTATTTAACTATTTGTATACTGAAATGAAAAAATGTCGTGTTCTCGAAATGTGTTTTCCCGTCTAAACACGTAAAGCTGTGAACAAGCCGAATCGTCAACAAACCACCGACCATCATATTGACATGTTGTACATTTCTGCGGATTATCCCGGAATAAAAGGGGACACTCGACCCGGACGAACTAACCAAGTGGGACTATCTTTTGTGTGTTTTATAGGGCTCTGATGGTAAGTGGTTTTGCTTATAAGCGATAGTTAGATCTTCATAGAATACTTTAATAAAGAAATATTTAAGAATTTCAAATGTTATTAAATCAAGTAATTTTGTCTTTAACGGACCTTCTAATCGTAATTCCAGAATGACTCAAGTGCCTTGAAATATCGTCTTTGTCACATTTTTAAAGGATTTTAAACTTTTGCAATAACAATACACTTAAATTACAATTAGCTGTTAGATCAAAAACATATTTTAGATAAAAAAATCTATGTTACAGAAACGGACCGTATTGTGTGTTCTCTTAATATAATTATAATAATCATAAATTATTAAGTTCATCGATAAAAGGCTACTGTTTTGTCGACCGCCTGTTGCTAAATGGTAAACGTTGCGTTGCGAGAGGTCTTGTGTTCGAATCCCGAGGAAACAATCGATGATTTCGAACGGGCAGGGCACAGAATTTTGATCAACCATTTGTCTGTATATAGAACCTATCAATGAAAGGGACACAGAAATGTGTTCACCTAATGTCCCACGCGTGTATTCGGGATTTCAGTTTTAGTATTATACCCCAAAACATGTTGACCCTACAAAAATCCGATCGTTTCTCAAGTGTTCAATGAAAGTGTTCCTCAGAGGGCCGTCTGTAGCAAACTACTGTTTAATCCGTATTAGATACCAGTTGGTACTCGTCCGACCCCAACTGTTAGTTTGTTCCACACTAGTGTTTGTTATACAGCACAACGTAACACACATCTTTGTTCAATACAATTACATACATATGAGTAAGAACAATTAAACATTTATTAAGAAATACAGGGCATATAGGAATGGAATTTTATAAGTAATTTCTAAGGAATTTAAAAATATTGGGCAAAGGAGCTTTTGTATAATCGTTATAACTGAACCTAAAGAAAAATAAGGCATATATATATAAAATATTTATTAAGGTACTTATGTTTTTTATGGAAGAAAAGGATAGATAGATAAAATACCCCGTTAGTAGTATATCATCTAAAGAAGAGGCGCTGTCGTCTCAAAAGCGGAACGAAAATGCAAAACTGAAACTGAAGCAGGATATAACACCACGTTTTACCATCTGTGATCAGTGGTTCGTGATCCGGCAAAAATTCTTATAAAACACAATTTTATGAAACACTTTGCACCCAGCGGGAATCGAATCCACGGCCCGTTGGTAATAAGAATACTTTGCTACCGTTATGTCAAATAAAAAATGACACCAACAATGAAGTATACTGAGTCAGCTATCATATGATATTTCGAAACTCAAATCAATTTTACAAAACGTAACACACTGGATTGTTCTATTTATATTGGAAAGTTAAACACGAGAGTTCGCGTCGCCATTCTAAAGTCGAAACAGATTAAATATTAACTGTCAAATTAAGTCGCTGTCTTCGCTCGTCGACACCAATTATGCGAACAAAGTACAGAGTAAATACAGTGGCTATTGAATTAATTTTGCTTTAGAATTGAAGGTAGTTTGTTTAATGGTCCGGGAGCTGGTTGTGTTTCCATCATTATTTATGTATTACACGATTTGGTTTTGTCTACGGGGGGCGAATCCTTGGGGTGATGAAGACCCGAATATGTACACATTATTGTGTCTGTTTAAGTTAGTTCGTTTTTAGAACGCGAATAATTATATGTCAAACTAAAATTATTGTAGTATTTAAACAAGTAGCGTAGCTGACTTCTACGGCGTAGATATCTGCTACGCTTTGTGTAGCACATTGTGATTATTACTAATGTTGCTCAATGATTATTAAGAGTGTAATGAAATTAACTTACCTATTTTTATTTTAAACTAAAATTTGAATCGTCAAAAATGTTCTATTGAAACTTTTACTACTAGTTTAAACTACAGACAATGTGTAGGGTTAGGTCGTAGATGTGGTTAAAAGTGGACTTTGAATTCCGGAAAGTTGACGGACAAAGAATCGTATAAGCTCCAAGCAAAGACTGGATATAATACGAAATGTACAGATTTTTCCGGGTTTGACTACTGAAGACGTTTCTTTTTATTTATATTTTTATAAACTTTCAGATTTGTACTAAATCTTGATAGGATTTTAATAATATAGAGCTATCATTTACAATGAACCTTTAAAAAAATTACATTAGAAAACCTCATCTTAATCTACATGATGGCACTATAAATATATTTAAAACTACATTAATTTGCGAACAAACGCAACTTTTTGATGTAGTTATAATTAAGTTTAAGAAAAACAATTCTAGGCTTAAGTTAACAAACCAGCCTATAACAAATATTGTACGATATACATTATCTGCGTCCGCCATTTTTAGGGTGCGGAGTTAACGCGAGCCGGTGCGAAGTAATTGTCATCAAATCAACTTGGCGAATGTCGTTTCGTCGGCGGAGGCTATTCAATTACCTTTGTAAATAAAATCAGTGGCAATTTGCATGTTTATTCTTTTTTATTACATCATTATGCTTGTTCAAAGTTTCCTCCGTTTTGGCATTAGCGCTACCGCTTCCATAATTCATTTTTACTAACTTGAATTGAGAAGTCGGAAACATATTAAATCGGGGTTTTATCAAATCGAATACGTGGGGCCTTATTGCATCAACATTTTACGTCGGAGGGGGGGTAGTGGGGGAATCTATGATCCCTAAATAAGACAATGACAGATTTCTATACGATTTTGTTTATCCACTAGTATAATACCATTTTTAATATCCGTCAATTTTTTTAAACTTAAGTTTTTAATATCCAAATGATTAATGTGAAGAAATGGAGGTGGGAAGAATCGGGCAAGGCCAAATATCAACTGTAGGGTAAAAAAAAGATTTGTGGAATGGGGAAAAAAGGCCCCGTGACCGGGAACACTTAACAGTTTTTATAATCTAACATTGTTGATTTAAAAATCTAGTTGGCATTTATTGAACGACATTGGCCTTTCTCGAAACGTTTAATATAACCCAGAAGAAGGTATTCTAATTTTTAGTCACGGTCACCCCAGGAACGTATCTGTTAGCTACTGCTATATTATTTCTTATATATTTCTCTTCTTGCCCTGAAGTCTCGCTCTTCCGGGCACACAGGAACAAGCATCATTATAACATTTATTAAGCCAAAATTTTAAATTGTTAGTAAAATTTAAAAATCGAAAATAAATTGAAAATTTTTCGACTCGGGCAGGACTTGAACCGGTGTTCCGTGCTATTGCTCTGCCCAGGCCCGAGTCGAAAAATTTTTTCAATTTTTTTTTCGATTTTTAAAATTATATAGTGCCTTCATGTGCAACATGTAAAAATAAAATAAAGTTTTCAATTGTTAGTTACATGTTTTTGATAACTTTATTCTTCTGTTTAACTCAAGTCCATATTTACGAAACTGTTTATAATAATCAATTTATATATAACTAATAGATATTTTGGAACTACAATAATTATAGGGACAAAGTTAAATATGTATAGAGAATTATAGATTAAGATACGACTATTTCAACGTAAATCAAAAGAATAATTGTCGTAGCGGAATTAAGTTAATGTTATAATAATGAGTGTTCCGCCCCTGTTTGTCTTTCAATTACGAACCCTCTTCGGTCTCTTTAAACAACACGTCTACTCGAGGGATCAAATTTAATCTATCTGCTATAAATATTTAAATAAAAATGTACACACACAGCGTTATTCAAAATACCATTTGAATAATAAAAAAAATCAAAGCCTAAAAGGTAGCGCATCATGTTAAGATGTCATATGGCTTTATTTTCCTCTTCCATAAAAATAAAAAACACGTAAAAGGCCGTAGGTACTAACGTTTAGTTTGGTTAACGAGAATGTTTCATTTGAATATCTATAGTATTAACTTTTGTTTTAAATTAAAGACATTTTTTAATAAATATGTATATGAGATATATTATTAAAATACATCATTGATATATTTTCTATCTGTAAAGGTGTAACGATATAAAAAAGTGAGAAAAATGCCTATTAATAAATGAAAATGCAAAAATTTATATTGATATTAAAAATATATAGTATATAATTTAGTAATAGTGTTTTTTAGTATATTATTTAAACGAATGTTATTATTAAATATTTAATATGTCAAATTTTAATTCTTAATAAGTACAATAAAAAAACGTAATTCCAATACTTTCGCTACAAACTAATCTACTTACATACACGCACAAAAACGCGATGATACCTGCCTATGAGAAATTGCGCAAAATAACTACAGTCACATCCACTCACCTCTACACGCTTGCACAAAATTAAAGCATGACCCGACACTGTCACTTACATCGACATACTGAGCAAACTGTAACCCCTCGTCTATCGACCAATCAGCACCCCGCCCTACCCCTGGCCGCGCCCATTTATCTTAAACCCACCAATGGGACGATGAGTAGAACCTTATTT